TGTAAGATTTATGCCGATGGCACGTACAAAAATGAATTGAAAGAATAATATGGAAAAATTATTAAAAATAATGTAACAATCAATTATTAAAAATAATATAAAATCCTTTGTGCATATGAAATGTGTTTATTTATATATTTAAATTTTATTGCGTAATTAAGTGCATCAGATGTTCTCTCTAAAATGAGTAATTTGGGCATCATCATTGCTGTCATTTAATGCAGTAGTTAATGCACAATTAATCTCAGCGACATAATCACTTTGAAAGGATTTTGGTCATCCACAACTCAATAAATTTACGCGAATAGCTTGTTCGAGAGCGGATTAATACTCGCAATTCAAAGACCGTGACGTGCGGAATCAATAGCACCGCATGGAAAATCTTCTTATGGTTTAACAGAATTGATGAGAATAAAATTAAAGTACATACGCGAAAGTTTTATTATAATCAATTCCGCGGAACGAATAAGAATGCATTATTCAACTGATCAAGAAGCAATGAATTAAAGACTTGAGTTCGAAAGTGTTTCTAAAGAAATTTACGAAATGCTCGAAAGTAAGTGGATATTATTATATTGGGATGTATTTTTAATTAATCTAATTAATAATTTTCTTTTATTTATATATTTGTTCTTGCTTAAATTATAAAATTTAACATATTTATTTAGTTTAAATATTTTAACTTTTCTTGCTATAAAAATATCTAAAATTCATTAATCTTAAAAAAATATATATATGCATCAATAATTCTTTTAAAATTAAAAAATATTAAATCTTAAAAAATATTTTACAATAATTCAAACTTTAAATAATTTTCACTACTTTGTATCTTAATTTAAAAATGTACATTAAGAATTTTAATTTAATTTAGAATTTTACGTAGAATATTAATAAGTCATAAATTATTTACTATGGAAAAATGTATTCCAGATTGATTAATGAAGTCATATGTCGTGTAAAATCTGTAAAATGTGTTACATAACCTTTTTCAATAATTTAAATATAATATAAGTATATATTGTAATAAAATAATAAAGATATAATAAAAATCATATGATTTTTTAATACGTAAATGGTGGGAGATTGAAGGGAAGCTTAGGTTATAAATTTTTATAAATATCTAATAATGTCGAATTACATGATGCGAAACATGACGTGCATTGTGTTAGAATTTATGCGCGATGCAGCTCTCTGTCTCTCTTTCTCTCTCTATAATCACAGGAAAACATGTTTGGATATAAATTTTTGTCGACGGTAGGTAGGTATTGAAAAATGTTCGAGGGATTAAAGTTGTTCGAGATCATGAAAGCACCCGCTATTTAAAAAAGCTGCGCTCGTCGACCCACTTTCGAAGTATGTATCCTCCTGCCGTGTTTCACAGGGGAGAGAGATGGGGGTCGATGATCGTTAATATCGAAGCAGCTAGTAATAATAAGTGACCGGTAATTCTGCCTCCTTTGTCATTTTCTGCTCGATATTAAAAATCGATCGATTGCGTTAATAATATCGCTCATTTCGTACTCTAGGAGGAAGGGTAAAATGTACTTGACGAAAAATTCAATAAACGCGAATGAGAATAATATACGTTTCGCATTTCATACATCGAGTGATTGCCAATTGTAGCACGTTTTATTCTCTTTCGCGTATCTCTTGAAGAAAATCTTGCGCGTGTATAACAGAAAATATAAACACATCGAGGGACATCGCGAGCAGGATATTTCCTTCCCTTTATTTTTGCCGCATTCCTATGAGGTTGATTATACTAGTGGAAGAGTGGCGGGACGATATCGGCTCGTCGGAAGGATGGTAGAATATTCTAGGGAAGGGTAAAAAAAGTAACCGAGGGGGAAACGTGGTTATGAAAGGTGATTATCGAAAAACTCGGTGTGTAAGCTCGATGAAAAGCCCAGCCGCCGACTGGGAAAACTGTCTTCAATCCTCCGGCCCGGAACGGGCAGTTTAATGCAACGCATTTCACAGACAGCGGATAGCTGACGTCTAGAAAATCTCATAATGGTTAAAGGAAAAGCGAGGCTCGATTTCCATAAGCACCGCGAACGATGTTGACGAAGATTATCCCGGCTTATTTTTCTTGCCCGAGAGATTCAAACGTGCGGCTGTTTTCGCTCTCGCGTTCCTTTCAACGTTTTTTTGTACTTTAATTTCTCAATAATAATTTTTAATGCAACTAGAATCGATTCGATTACTAGTACCACTTTAATTGAATGGATTAATTTTTACTTTGTGATAATTTACAAAATATTGGGAATCTTGTATTTTTCTCTATATATTATAATTTCTTGCTAGATTTTCTCCATCATTCTTTTTTGATTTCACAGGTTTAATCAGACATTCGTTTTCTTTTATGGGAAAGAATAATTGTGTGGATCCTTTGTTAAAATCTGTAAACATAAATCGTTCTTGACAAACAACTTTTGTTATAAAGTAATGTATTTTATTGGATCGATACAAATGCAATAAACAAACCCTGTATCTATGAATGGCATTGCATCCTGTACACCAAATATCGTTGGATCTCGATCAAAGTTTTATTTTTGTTGCACAAGAGATTTATTTGCGGCAGAGCTTCTGCGCTAAGCGCGACGAGCGAACAATGCCTAATATTTTCTCATAAGCAATCATATAAAATCCCATAAGTCGCGAGAAGGAAGGAAAACCTTGATAAAAACCTTCTCTCCGCGTCAAATAAAAGAAAACGAATGGGAAGAAAAACGATCGAAACTTTTTTCCAGCTTGAAATGTTTCCAGCGACGTAAGCTCCATTGAGGATCATTTATCTTTTCTCAATACAACGGAATATTTCCGACATTCCTCAAACATAAGCAAAACGCAAATCAAGGTTTAAGCAGTGCGCGGATTTCACAAGCAAAATTTAAAGTAAACTTTCTCGAACAAACTCTTCATGAAAGCGTTGATGCGCATTAATAAGCAGCTTCAATATCACGCAAGAAAACTATACTTATTATTATTAATTTATTGTGAAAATATATATAAAAAATTTTCTTCCATAAATAGTTATACAGATGTAGAAAATTTTCTTCTATAAATAGTTTCTTCTCATGTAAATCGTGGATATTTAATAATTTAATTTATCTCACTCTTTTTCTCCGAAGAAAAATCTATTATGTTCAAAGTTCCTGTGATGAAGTGATTTAGAGCACCCGTTAATGAAGCAAAATGTATAAATTAATTTTAAAAATTTTAAAAAGCGCACACATATCGTTCTCCTTTTATAACTAATATCATAAAGATTCAGATATTATTTGATATAAAATGATTGTTTTAACGTCAGTCCTATTTAGTGTATTAATTTTTCATCAACACATGCAAGAGAAAGTTTACGCGGACAAACATCGCAATTTTTCAATTCTCTTTGGGCGATCCCTTTCAATCTTTCTTGCTATCTCCGAGCACATCAAAATCACCCGATTAAAATTACAGCCCTCTGCGGTCAGTTTCAAGATATTCCAGAGGGTTTTCTTCCATTTTCAAAAAATAATTTAAACGACTGGAGGATCTGAACGCATAAAAAATAACATAGGATTAACTGCAAGGGTCGTGAACTTTTTCAGCAAGGAGTGCTTTATCCTCAAGCTTTTTACCGAATTTATACACTGCTCATAACTTTTAAAAAATATATTTGTAGAGAAACAAGCAGGTTTTTCTCTCACAGTTTTAATTATTATGCAAACTGCGATCTGATTAAAAAAGAGAATTTTGTAAATTAAAAATAATTATGCATTCAAATTCTTATGTATTTTAAATTTTTCATTTCATCACACATCAACACTTATAATTCCAAATATGCGGTAATATTATTGCTAAAAAGAGAAACTCTCTATTTATATAATTCTCAAATTATAGATATTTATTTTTACGCATTAATTTTTTCTGTTCATTTCACAAATCAATATTCCGAAAAAGTTAACAGTTAAATCTTTTATAAAAAAAAATTCTACATAATAATTTATTAACTGAACCTAGCCAAATCACGGTACTAAAAAAAGCTCGCTGTATTCAACGAATTGCAAATACACGGCGGATCTGCGTAATACATATTTGCCTTTAGTTAATCGATAAATACTTAATTCATAAAAGCGTCATGATTTTAAAGTAAGATAAAAATCATGGAAAATTTTATAGGAAGCTTGAAAAATTCAGCATAATGTACGAGCTACCCATTTATAATATAAAAATGCAAAAAGAAGTGCGTTCCGCGAAGACAATAAAGCGTTGTTTTCACTCGTGAAAAGTCGAACGTCCCGCTTTTTCTGACTCTGGACCGGCGATGGTGGAAAGAGGAATGCGAAAAAATTTTGCTGGAAATTGCTGCTTTAACGAGTGAAACGACGACGTGATAGCACCGACCGGGCAAACTTTTGGAACGATCGCGAAACGGACAGGTGGACGTTCCTGGCTTTTGCATACTTAGCAATTTCATCGTTTTGTGTGCACCCTTTACGAAGTTCTCTTTATAAATTATGCAGGAGACCCATTTTTTCTTCTTTTACGCGGGAACTCGCTCACGCCGATGGTCCTTTCCTTCGGACAATAGCGATTCAAAGAGACTCCTTCTCGAGTCACGGATTTTATTCACGTTATGTCAGCATGTTTGAGAAGAACTGAAAAGAATTCGAGACCGCAATATGACTTTTAATGCACAATTCTGCATAAGCATTATCTCGATATACGTTCAGATTTCTTTTCTTATGTTATTTTACTTTGCGATGCCACAGATAGCTAATGTATATTGAATAATCAGCAAAAAACACCAAAATTTATAACTATATCCGCATGCTAGTCAGAGATAGAAAAGACAATAAGGCTTCAATCTCTTCATTTACCCACAAAATAATTTATATTTGAAAAACAAGTGATATTTTAAAGGCTTGAAAAAATAAATCTTTACATTAAAATTTAATGTATATTAATTTTTTGAAGGTTCTTATAAGGTAGATTTTTAAAATTTTATTCTTGCATTCTGTAATCCATAAACGAGCATTACATCGACAATTTCGTGCTACCTTTGGTCAGTTAGTCGATGAACGAATCTGCGAAAAATTCACGGAACTTGCGTTATTCGGAAAATGGATTTACTCAAACGTGCAGTCTGGTGAAGTAATCGAGCGGATTGTAGTCGCATTCTGGATAAAAGAGCGCGCATTTCCCGCGCGTATTCCTACCGATCGCCTCGGCGGCATGGTACTCGCAATTCGAATAGATTTCGTATTCCTCGCTGGTCGTCGACGGCGTTAGGAGAACGTGCAATAGCTCCCCCAGGAGCCCGTGTCCTTTGTCGAAGGGATACGCTGCGGATTCGCAGACGACGCGCAACAGACAGGCTCTGCCGGAGCCGAAGCGCTCCATCGTTGATTCCAGCATTCCGTACAGTGTCCATCGTGTCATGTAACCTGGAAACAAAACGAAAATTACGTGAACACAACATCTAGGTTACATCGAGTTTCTATCCCCACGTGTAAACATTACAGAAAGAATCTAAAAGCAAGGAAGATCTTCTCACAAATTAGTTAATGCAATTCTTAAACGAGTTGTCTCTTTTCGTTTACGGTGAATACAATACATATATACAGGGTGTTTCTTAATAAATACGAACAATTTTAGGAAATGATTCTTTGTCGAAAATTAAGGGGGGTTTTTCATATAAACATTAAAAAATTCTAAAAAAAATTGAATAGGGATTGTTGGTTTCATCTCCTTACAATATGGGAAACTGAAAAAAAATATTAATAAATAATCTTTTGACTAGAACCTTTTGAGTAGAAAATATCCACCTAATTTTATTTCTTTAACTTATTCCAAATTTGAGAAAAAAAATAAAAACCTAATTTTTATCCCATTTTTGGAGGAATGTAACTACACAGAGAGGGATATAGGAGTATATGTTTATATGAAAAATCCCCCTCCGTCGTGTGTCCTATCTGTCTATATATATAGAGAGAGAGACAGAGAGAGAGAGAGAGAGAGAGAGAGAGAGAGAGAAGGAAACAAAATAAATAAATAAATAAAAATATATATATATATATATAAATGGATAGATAAAAGTTAAAGATATATTAAAATTCCATAATATAAAGCTAGAAAAAATTGACTGTCTATTTTGTATTCTAAATATCCTTCGTATTCTTCGAATCTCTATGGGATCAACATCAGTCTCAAATCTCGTAAAAAAGAACTGACCGTGCAGCGACTTTCGGAACGTGCGTTAATATTACGACAAGGATCGTAAAAGAAGCGTATGATAGCAAGATAGTGCTGTGTCGAGAGACCCATCAATGTTAGCGGTGAAATGATTCTTTGTCGAAAATTAAGGGGGGTTTTTTCATATAAACATTAAAAAATTCTAAAAAAAAATTGAATACGGGTTGTTGGTTTCATCTCCTTATAATATGGGAAGCTGAAAAAAAATATTAATAAATAACCTTTTGACTAAAACCTTTTGAGTAGAAAATATCCATCTAATTTTATTTCTTTAACTTATTCCAAATTTGAGAAAAAAATAAAAACCTAATTTTTATCCCATTTTTGGAGGAATGTAACTACACAGAGAGGGATATAGGAGTATATGTTTATATGAAAAATCCCCCTCTGTCGCGTTATATATATACGCGTATATATATATATATATATATATATATAGAGAGAGAGAGAGAGACAGAGAGAGAGAAGGAAACAAAATAAATAAATAAATAAATAAATAAAAATATATATAAATATATATATATATATATATATAAATATATATATATATAAATATATATATATATATATATATAAATGGATAGATAAAAATTAAGGATATATTAAAATTCCATAATATACAGCTAGAAAAAATTGACTGTCTATTCTGTATTCTAAATATCCTCCGTATTCTTCGAATCTCTATGGGATCAACATCAGTCTCAAATCTCGTAAAAAAGAGCTGACCGTACAGCGACTTTCGGAACGTGCGTTAATATTACGACAAGGACCGTAAAAGAAGCGTATGACAGCAAGATAGTGCTGTGTCGAGAGACCCATCAACGTTAGTGGTGCAACAGCACGTGTTTCTATTGACTTCCCCGAGAAACTGCCTCGCGGAAGTTCCTTCCGGGCGAAAATGAGGAGAAAAACCTAATGCCGATGGCGAGTTCGCCTCGTAAAAAGGGAGAAACATCTGTGGTAAACAGTCATTCGGTCGTCGCCACTAGAAATGTACGGTTGCTGTTAGTGAAGCGACGAAAAAGAACGTGGGGATGTCGCTTTAAATAAGTTATAGTAAACTTAAAAACCGCATGGTACATCGCGCCAGCAAATTGCTCTCGCAAAATAGTACAAATGCGACTTTCATGCATAAATAAAAAAAAATCAAATACAAATTTCGACAATTGCACAAATTTCAAAAATTTGTCCTCTGGAAATTAAAAAGGAAAAAAAAATCTTTATATTCTGATATATGTATAATTCTGTTTCTAATCCACTTGCAATTACATTTTTTAAGAGTGTCATTATCTTTTCAAACGTCATTATCTTATTTTTAATCGTTGCGATAGATTATGTTGAAGAGAAAGATTATCTCTTGCAGAGAGAGGGAGAGGAGCCGGCCATATTGCCGCTGATAAAAATTCCAGTAGCTTCGATTTCTCTCTTTATTCTCGTTTTATTTCACGACTAAAGCAATTTTCCATAAAAAAATGCGAGCAAAGATAGTCGGATAGGCATGCAAACTTTTCAGTATCGTATTTTATCGATAATTTTCAATAAAGAATGCGCCTCAGGCGAAGAATTCTTGTGCCCTTAATTTTTTTCTGCTACACGATACGAAAACGTTGTGATAAGTTTTCCATAAGAAATGCGAAATTAAATATGTCCCCCCATTATTTACACTGTACATAATTAAAAAAATAAGTCCATTTCTCCGATAGAATCACTCTCTATCGATCTTTCTCTTTAAAAAATTCGCTTCTCGAATAAAAATATTATAATAAGATATTATATTATAATTATATTATATTGTTATTATACAGTAAGATACTAGATATACTCTTAGCAAATTTTTACCATGAAACTCTTATAATATTAAATGAATGTGTATGAAATCCTTTTTCCGAGAGTTTTTATAAAATGATACTTCCGCTAAAAATTAAAATTGTTGTAAAATAATAAAATTAAATTAAAATCTGTAAGTATTTTAACCATATCCTAGAAATATTTCACTTCTTACCTTCTCCTACGAATATCTACTAAACGTATAATTAATCACTCCAGAAGGGGAATTAATTACATCTCTTCATTAATATTCGGTGTTTATCTCCGCGGTTAAGTGGATAAGGGAGCAGAATCAATATCTGAAAATATTTGAAGACACATACATCATTTCTGCCGAACATTTTTGGATAATATTTGTGACTAAAAACGTTTAATCGCTGAATCTAAACGTTTATGAAAACAAAATAAATAGAGAATATTTGTAAAAGGAGAAAAGTCAACAAAATGTTATGACGTGCGCATGCACTAGCTAGTGATCCTTGTAATATTACATCCCTCTTCGCATCTCTAACGAGGGAGATCTAATACCTTTACATCAATTAGCTAACATCCGCACATAAATTCACCGCTTTATGTGTTCGCGATGCTATCCCTTCGTTAATCGCGTCCCTTAAATACGTGACTCCGCACTCGTTGCGTTTCATTAAGCCGTGCGTTCGTTCCGCACCGCGGTTTAATTACCCACGTCGCTTTCTCGCCACTATTATGCGTTTCATTATCGTCCCGTTCGTTACACTTCGTGATTTCCGTTTCGCGCATTTCTGTTCCGAGAGATTTTCCGCGAGGACGAAAGTGCCTTTGACGGCGCGATACGCAAAAACGAGGAGGGAAAATTAAAAACGAGCGTAATCCGTGGGACTGCGTTGCACGCTCAGGGAAGAGGGACGAAGGAAGGGGGAAGCTCATTTTTATATACACGCGCGATTAAGCCGCGACTGCACTTTACCTCCGCTCGTTGTCGTCCGCGATAATGCAAAGTCGTTCTCGGATCTCTTTAATCGTGACCGCCACTGCTGCACAAAGTCCGACGCGTTGTAGGGAAGATCATAATTGCATTTCAGCACATAACCGAGAATCGTGGATACCTCACCCTCCATGGGCAGCCCGAGTCCGAAGAGCACCTACGCAAATTTAATTAAACGCTTGGTGCGAGAACTTTAGCTATTTCTTTAGCTCCGTCGAGAGATACGTTAAGTCAATATTTACAACGAAGGTGATAACACTGATAATTTCCATCGTCCTGATCATATCACTGATCTGTATCATGAAAACGCGTCGAATATTATCTTTTTTTTTTAAACAAATTCAATTAGAGAATTAGGATTATGGGAGTAATTTTTGCAAAGCTCTGTGAAATTCATATTCGAGTGCGATCGATATATATGATAAGAAATATATTTATTTATTTATTTCAACAATAACTTTTATATAGTCTTTGTAGCTGTTTTCTTTTTCTCTTTTAAACACTAAAGTATAAATTCTATTTCGAATGCGAAAAGCATGAAATAATGAAAAAAAACAGAAATCCAATATAACAATTTTATACAAATAAAATATACTTGTTTCTTTATTAAAAGTAATATACTTTTTTATTCAAAATTATTTGATATATCGTAATATCTGTTCTCTTTTGTGACTATAAATTACAAATATGTATAACACATAATATTAAAATAATATAAGCTCTATAAAAAAACATGCGGAAATGATATTTTAATATATATTATCTTTATAATTTGTCAAAGTTTAATCTATCATGCATAAGATGAAATAGAGCGTAAATAAGGAGATTAAAAGCTCCAATCATCATATCAAACAAACGAAAATGTAATATGAGAGTAAAATCGTACGTATATGTGCAAGATTTATCTTGATTTAAAATTTTCAATGTATGAAAACTGAAATAATTTAATCAAATATTATTTCGTTATAACACATACATATATACATGTAACACTTTACTATTATTATTATTTTATCTATATTATTATTATATTACATCATTTATATTCAAATGTTACATACCTGATATTTCGTCTCGCTCTTTTTCGGATCAGGAAATAAAAGATGCCGTCGTTCTCGAAAGAAATTTATCACTCGGTGATTCGATTTAACTTGGAATCGACAGATATACATGAGAAAGGCCATTAGTATCAAAAAAGAAACTTTCGTCATTTTAGTATTCATAATCTCAGGATTTAGTTAAAACAATTGTGAAGATCGCAAGATATGACGAATCAATATCTTGGTCGCAAACTAATTAATACGAAAAGGCTTCCGTGTATGCACATTAGTTAACGTTCGTCACTCATAACTGTGACAGAGACCGATTTGCATGACGTCGCAAAGCACTTCTCGATTGCCCACACAAATCGACGTAAAGTTCTAAAGTGTGCAGATTGAAACGGTTTCTGCAAATCTGAGCTGTCATGCTTTGCTGGGCAGAAAAGATCTTGTAAGCTTCAGAATTCGATATTTTCTCTTTTCACTCAGTTTCGCCAGATGTTTATTGAACTCTAATTGATCTAAATGATATTAGTTTTATTTATTAACAATCAAACCAAAGCAAAGGGATGTGTTTTGTTTGATTTATTAACAATCAAACAAGAGAAGTAAATTTGTAAATAATAAAATTAAATAATAAAATTAAATAATAATAATAATAATGTAAATAATAATAAATAAAATTATGTAAATATTAAATGGAGAGAAAAGAGGAGAGAGACAGAAATATATATACATATATAGCAATTATTATGTATATTGCTTCTATATGTTTGAATAATGTTGAAATTGATTTACTTCTCAATTTTGAATTTTTTTCATTATGTAATCCAAGATAAATTTTTGGCAATTTGTAGATTTTTCATACTTAATTTGATGCTGATATCCTATGTTGTATCAAAGATGATGAACTCGGATATCGCAGAAATATTGCATCGGCCAATCAGAAGTCTGTCATTTCCTGAAAACAGTAACATGGGTGTGAGTATAAATACATATTTAAAACAAGTTAAGATATGTCATACATTAAGCTAAAAATTATAATCATATTAGTTAGCAATTTATTGCTATAGATAGGAAATATTGGTAAAAATAATTTCCACTATATTGCAATCATATTTTTGCGTTTTTCTCTTCCTTAGAATTTATATATTTTTTCCTCAGCATCATTTCTTATTATTCGTTAAAAAAATATCGATTTCGGAGAATGAGAGTTGTAAGATCTTGTTCCCTTGAAAATTTCATAATCCCGAGAAGAATCTAACGCAGAAATGAAATCGCTCGACGATCATGCGATTAATGTTTTCACAGATCTTCGTCGCTATCGCAGTACCGCTCGAAAATCCGCTGAGTTCTATCTCCCTGTCGTACTTCTTCGAAGCTAACTACGTTCTACCACCGAACATAACGTACTTTGAGCCCTGGACGGAGCTAAAAAGGAAAAAGCGGACTATCGACAGAGCCACGATCTATCGAGTTCTGGAAAGTAAATTCGAGAGGCAAGTTCGCAAACAGACAGCCATACGTTACGAGTTGGCCCCCTTTTTCCTTCTATAATTCCTTGTGTAATCCTTTCGCGTTACTTTATGTTTCTTCTAAGTCCTGGTACAATCTATCTATGACAATTTCTTAAATTTTCTTGAGCTAATTCGAATTCAAAGTACACGATCGATCTATCTTTAAATTTGATAAGACTGCAGCTGGTCTAAACGAGAAAAATTTAATTCTAACAATAAGCTAAACTATAATAACAAATTCGAATTATAAATCCTTTATCATTTTCGTCCTCTTATTTAAATTTCTAATTGAATTATGTTAGATTAATTCTGATTTCATGATTATACATATTGTCTTATTTTTCAACGCTATTTTGCTATATATTTTATATTTTATATTTTTGTACATTTATGTATTTTTTATACATTTGCATTTTTATATCAAGAAATTTATATCTCCAAAATAAAATTGACTTCCGCTTTCAACGACTAAATTGATAAGTCCTAGTGTTCTTGGAAATAATAATCAATTAATAAATTTGTAAATTAATACATCGTAAATGATTTTTGACTGATGATGAGATTAATCAGCGATTCTCGATTATCGCGCGAATCACACGCTTATCGTGCAATACGAGAATTCGATAGAAGAGAAGTCTTTCGAGATACTACAGCATCGCGACACTCGGAACAGAAATCGGCGGAGATTCGAGATAGAGAGACACAAATGTACTCTTGACTCCACTTTACGAGCATTCGGGGTGTCTGGGAATTGCGTAACATGTTTGACTCGGTATGTACGTGTGTATTCGCGCGAATATAGGCAACGAATTATGTATGCACACATGAGTCTTCAATCCGGTATTTAGAGAATCGTAAAGCGCAAAGTAAACACGTCACGTCTCGTTCTTCCATCGCCCATCTCCGTGCGCTTTCTTGATTTTTCTCTTTGCTTTCAGCTCCGGGAATCCCGGAAGAGAGTGCCTTCTGAGAGCGATCTGCGAAACCTCGGAATATCCGCTTCGGCACAACGGAATCATCGGCGACATAATGCACGTGATTTTCACGTAAGTCCCTGTTGTTGACGTAACAATGACGGCCGAAATTTTATAACATTGCCGATATTACATAAATCGCAAATCAAGAGAATAACAATTAAAATCATTTCTTTTCTTTTATACTTTCTTCCAATCTCTTAAATAATTTTTTCTAAAATCATATAAAGCATAAATGAAAAGAAAAGCTCTATATTTCGAAGAAAGGAGCTTTTATAAATTATTTCTGTGTACTCTGCGAAATTGGAATATTGTAAAATTTCGGCTATACATTTTAAAAAATTATGACAATCTATTACACTTGTTAATAATAATTGTTAATAATTCAGAATAATTTTTTCATTTAATAATACGACTCTCGAAGCTCTTTGTAATTCGGAAACGAGCTGTAATGTTGAAGCAATTAACGAACTATTATACACACAATAAGATTCGCGAATGTCGATTAATAACTGGCAGTCTCTCGTCTACCCCTCTTTCTTTCCACGATATTGTTCGCTCGACTGGCGAATAAAACTCGCTAAAAGAGGAAGCAAACGTGAATTTTCTCTCTTCTGCAAAAAGAAGAAGAAGTAGAAAAGCGCGCCGCTCGCGGGCCTTTTTTTCTCCCAACACAAGGGCGTTTCAAGGCGCTGCAAATTGGAGCAGATACGCGCGCCGTAGAAAAGCAAATTTGGCTTCCTCGCAACCAACCCGTCCACGCTATAGAGACGTGCATCCGTTTCGCTTCGATCCGCTTCTCCCTGCCTCGTGAACGAATAAGCTCTCCGATCAGGAACGTATGAATAAAGGACACGAACCTGCGGGCAAAAGCGACAACATTGTCCGCCACGACGAACGGACGAGAAAGTTCATCTTTGTATAACGCGCAAACATCTTGATAAATTGCACTTTTCGCGAAAAGCGCCGAGAACTTTCCTTTCGTTTCTCTCATATCTTATATCATATAAAAAAATATAAAAAAGCCTGTTGTACATAAAAGTAAAAGCTTGTTATATTCATTATTTTCCAAAAAATGCGCAATAATATCGAAATGACGGCAAAAAGCTCCATGTATAATATTTTCTATTAATTATAAATATATTTTAATGTCTTCAACATTTTTTTAAATCTTTCAAGACACTTTAAACGTCGTAGCATGCATTAAATCCAATCGGTTAACGGCTTTCCTCGAACTGGCAGCGGCGCACGAAGTAAAAATGGCGGAAAAAGAACCGCGAGTGTCATCCCTTTAAGATTCTTGTATCTCGGCACGAGAGATGCGCAATCTTACTCCCATCGCATTGTCGTTTTCATCGTCGGGGATGCGACAATGCACGATTCCCTTCTGTAGAAAATGTTTCGCGCAGAAACAGCAGGGAAAGAATATACAAAGAAGCGAGAGCTCATTTCGCGTCTTCCTTCTTAACGTTGCACTCGTGCCATGCGCTGATGCATTATTACGCCCTGCCCGGATGCATCTTCATCTTTTTGACTAGCAGAAGAAACGTGAAATTACGAGGGAACTCCATCTAACTCACGAGAACGGCCGAGAAAGTCCGAATCGTTAAAAACAATAAAAAGGGAACGAAATATACGGACAGCGAAGTAACTTGTTATATCTAAAATAATTTCGCGCATTGATGTATCATGGAAGATTCTCTCGCACGCCATTCCTTCGATATTAAAATTTTTTCCGCTGTATCTTCGAAAAAAAGAATTACTTTATAACACGAATTACTTCGTTATTCCTGTTCGCCAGTCAAGAAACATTGAATACTCGATTCGCTTCGTAAGTAGACAACAAAGTTGCGAAGTTACGGCGCGGCCGTTCTAAATTTTAATAAAACCGGCAATAAAGTTTCGAAAGAGGAACGCCCGGCGCTTTCTCTGGACGAAGGTCGGAAAGCAGGACGATACGCCCTTCGGATATTTCAGAACGCGAAGATGCATCCTCGTTCCCGCGAGCCCCCGAAAAAAAAAAGAAAGAAACTCAGAGGGGAATATTACCGTGAAGGAAAAATATTTTTCATTCGGTTCGTTTCGAGCACGCAGGATATTCAAGATTTATCGTCTCTCATCGAGAGGGCTTATGTACTCCCCCGAGAGAGAAAGAGACGAGGGGGCGGGATTATGAGAGACGAATCGGGCAAAAGGGGCTGAAGGAGAAGGGCAAAAAAACAGGCAGACGAAATAAAACTCCAATAAACCGATTGTATCGTCGCGCGCAATATAACGAAAGACGATATAAAAAAAATTGAGCCGGTGTGTGAACCGTTTTCTCTTTTCTTTTGTTTCTTAAAATGACGATTACCATGCGAGATAGCGATATTCCGGAGTTGTTTCCATCGTAAGCGAACGCTCGCGGAATCTCGAGCGCAAAAAATCGAAAAGACGAACAAACACAGGGCAAATTGCGTTCGTGAAATTACGGATAAGACGCCTGTAATCTTTTCTTCAGCTCATTATCCGCGGATACACAAAAATAATGCCGAATATATCATCAGGTTATTGCATTCGGGCGAAAAGGGGATGAAGCCCTCAGTCAACATGAGCGCACAGTATCAGAGAAAATTGCTATCGTGATTTTCGGCGGAAATAACAAACACCTACACGATTCAGCAGAGAAAAAGAAAGATCTTTAATTCTAATTTTATTTGCAAACAAAATTTTAATTATTTGACGTTGCAAGTTATAAAATGAATGCATTCTTATTAGATTCATTTTATCTCAATTCATTTTATCTCAATGCATTTTATCTCAATTCATTTTATCTCAATTCATTTAAAGTTCTTCTTTAATAAGGTTCTCCCTCAATGCAATGATTGCGAAGGATAACAGATTTTTATTGCGGTTTAATTATATGAAGGAATCGTGTTTTCAGTCCTAGCGCGTCGAGGCACGAAGAATTGCCGCAAGATGTTGTCGAGGCCGAGCTAGTCGGCCGCAATGGAAACTGCTCCAAGTACCAACCGCAATGTCCGCAGGGACTCTTCGACTTGATTGGAGTCCTCGCGTGAACTCTGAAAAATCGTCGCCAAGTTTACCGTGTGGTTTTCGAGAAACAAACAAACAGTCTAATTGCGCCGCTATTGAAAAGCTACGTCCACATGTTGTCAAACGTGAATGTAATATGTTTCTGTAGTTTCGACAGTCTCGTTGATTCGATCTATTAGATAGAGAGAGATGTGTATTGACAGAGAATTGTAGAATTGTAAAAAAATATCGAAATAAAAAAATATCCTTTTAATTAAGGATACATTTATATTTATGTATAGAATATGCGTGTAAATAACGTATGTTTAAGCTGTTATACCATCGTACATTTTAATGTATAATAAATTATGGTTTTAAATCAATTATTGTGCATCTATTTCGAATCACATATAACCGCATCTTTTCTCTTATAAATTTTAATCATAGTTTTCAAATTCATATAAATTCCTTACTATCGCACCACCTAGGTAAGAATTCACGATGGAATATTTAGTATCTTTCCTTAAAATCCTGTCCAGTATCTCGCGTGGAAGATTACGCTGAATTTTTCACACGATTGTTCTTCTCTGGTTGCTTCGCAAAATTATTGGAGCCTTAAAACGCCGCAAAAGTAGGCGCTTTAAGAAACAGTTAATTTGTACTCGATGATATATAGCAAACTAAAAGTCCTTCGGGTATATCCTTACCGTTTATTCGCAGTTTATTATCTACCGGAAGATCATCGCTGCGCAGAAAAAGAGCGAAGAAATTGACGAATGTCTTGTATTATCGAATTATCGCGGGAACGAATTTATATACTCGCTCGTAATTGTCGTGTGATCGTAAATCTCAAAAAGAAGGAAGGATATAAGAATTATTGCCACATTTCTTCGTCCTAGTATCCGCTCCCAAGCGAGGCTGCGTTCGAGTTATTTCAGCGCCGACACCGCTAAGGAAGATCATATTGTACGATTGTGATAATATATCATCCCTCGCTTTATGAAAGTAATTAAAACAATGATAGACGAATGATTAAAGCTAATTATTAGATTATTACGATATTGAATTTTTTTTTAATATCAACTGCTACTAAATTATTTTTATACGAAATGGAAATCGTTTTTATTCATTGAAACAATATTGAATCAACAGTAAACTAACAAGTTAATAATTAAACATATTACAAATTTTTTCACATCTCTTCATTTTCTCATACATACAGTAGTAGTAGCAAGTCATTAAAATTGCAAATTATTCGCGTGCCGAATTTTCGCGGCGCAATTTCCAGCTTAAAATGCTGTAGAAAATTTTCTATTTTCTGCATTATCTCTCGGGGAATTCACGAGAGAGAACCGCAATCGTTCGAGAGAGAGAAGTCTATCGGCAATAATTCAAGCGATAACTCGCCGAATAAAATTTCATAAAGAGATTCGTCGGAACTTTCGAGTTTATACCTGAAGTTCCCGAAAACGCAGTAAATTTTACAACCGCTACAGATAGAGAAGTCTCAAGGATCTGACATCTACCTGAAAAGTAAAGCATCTTACAGCATCGAGTTCACGAAGGATTTTATTCGCTTTACATTAAAGATTTAAAAGCGATGCTCCCATGCGTGTGAATCATTTACCGATTTAAGGACGATGTGTCTGGTCAATTTAATCTTGTCAAAGTTATATAATTGTGAGTTACCTAATTCACTACGCAAGCTCCTTTTTCGCAAAGTCGATATAACATGTGTGCATATATAACGGATATATAAACACATAGAAACACATAATTTAATCCTCAAATATCACACAGTCAGAAATATATTTTTTCTTGACTTAGAATTTAAGTATTCATGCGTTTTATTTGACTTTGTGATACAATGATATACTTGTATATTTTGCTTGTATATTCTGAATCAGTACGGAAGCGGCCTTTATAACGGACGCACATTCACGCCCAGCGACAGCGAAAATATTCAAGTCGCGTGGAAATAGAATTGCTCTTCCGTGTGGATACACCCTTAGGAAATTCGCGTGCAACGCTTCCCAGGGAGAAAAACTTTATGCTTCCCGAAAAGTTACAAAGTCGTAAATGTTAAGTTTGCAGGAGGAATACATTTCCAGACATTCCTCCGTTTTTTTAACATTCTCCGCGTCGATGTATTCCTGACGAAGATCTTCCTCGAGTATGGACGAACTTGGTCTACGACAGAAAACGTCAGATTAGTTTCTCGATGGAGCATTAATAAAAAATCGCTTAATTCTATTCAAATGGCTCACAATAATTAACGTCTAAATTGAACGATAATTCGAAATTAATCACTCTTGATTCACGATAAATGTTATAGATCTCTCTTTTCATTATTTTCATTATTTTCATTATTTTAATTCTATTTTGCATTGATTTTTTTATATTTCAATTACATATCAATGTATCATAATAGTATTTGTTGTAAAAACGTCAAAAAAAAACTGAATTGCTTTTTATTTTTACGCAGAAAATATATTATCTTTGTTGAATTAATTAGAGAAAACCTGCGATATTATTTATGTCTCACTGATCTCATGAATGTTACCAATCATACGAGATATTTTTGAAAATATTTATAATCGAGATTATTATCAAATCGAACATTCTTTATTTGATACTTTATTTTGTACATAAGCCCCATATTAACTTCAACTCTTAGCTTAGTAAGAGAAGTCTAAGAAAGAGATTGAAAAATTATAAATATTTTCGTTTGTCGCTATAAAAAATCTTATATATATATTTTACAGTTTTCATGTAATATATTAGTAAAAAAAGAGATCATATATATAACTCTGTTATATGCTAAGTCATGGATTTATCCCAACATTTCATTATTTGTCAATCTTAAAAACTTTGCCAATTATAATACTAAATTTTCTTGTAGTTTTCAAGATATTTTTTTAAGATATTTCATTTACGATTATTTTAAAACATTCCTGAATAAGTAAAAAAGTATCTTTTTAGAAAAAATAATTTTTTTCATGTTCTCTATTTTCACCAGAATGATCGTTTAAAAAAAATGAGATTTTCAATTTTGTTCGCTCAGGAGAGCAAAGACATATGTTAAAAAAAATCTTGAGGAATGACTCACGCGAATACGATCCGCAACAAATCACCGAGGAGTCCGTTATGGACATGAATGGCTTGCCGTTTGGTCTCGCATATGGATCTAAGAAGACATTGACGTCCTGGATACCCCATTCTGCGAAACAATAGAACAAATGTTCCATCACCCGTATATACATCATTTCCATACGATGAGTGATGTTTGACGAGATAAATGAGATAGCCATCTAAGAGTATCGGTGCTGTAGACAGGAAGATTATACGTGGAACGTATTCCGCAAGTTCGGTCGTTTAAAGCTTTGACAGTTAATTGAAAATCTTAAGCACAGTGCACAATGTATTAACTGGATAGCTAAAGATAAATATAGCGTTGGATAAAGTATGTTCGACACAGTCGGCGCGAGAAATTCCAGTAATAGATTATTAACGAGAAGATTATTAACTAATTGATCGATCTTAGCGCTCGACTTTGACTTATGATAAATGTTGCTAATATCAATCTTTCAAAAAACAAACCAATCAACTTCACTTTACATATATATTTAATTTTAATAAAATTACGAAATTTATAAAAAGTGGAGTTGATCAGTTTGATTTCTAAAAAAACTCATATAACTGTTTGTATTGACATCTAGCAGATACTTATATATATTGAACAGAAATTCCCGTATCATTTATGCTTTTAATAATAATGATAATATTTTTATTGAATGGAATATGTTGCAGATTTTTTTATAAAATCCTTTTATAAAATGTCGATTTTTGAATGACGTTTTATAAAAAATCTAGACTTTTGAATTTGCAAAAAATCTGCAACGTACATATATATAAATATAAAATTAATTAAAAGTAATTATACAACAAAAAAGAACAGTACACTTAAAAAAGAAGTGTATATAATGTTACACTAACAAGTTATGCAAAATAAATGTTAAATGCAAATGCAACATTATCTAGCCCAAGAAATAGTACATTCGCGCGAGTTCTATTATTTATCCTATTAGGATAAGGACATCAGAAAATGTCTGTCTTTTATAAGTATATTGTCTCCGGGGATCCGTCAAATAGACGTATGTTATTCATTTCCGGCGCTTGACACTTTTTGGCTTACCCTGAAAGAAATGAGGAGAGTGACGAATTAGGGAGAAATTGGATTTGCGGAAAGGACGTGTCTCGATCCTTAAGTGTCATCGACAAATGGACTTTACTAAGAAGTCACGTCCCTTTGAGTCGAATGCAGGTCCTAAGCACAGAGGACTATTTGTTGACAATATATTATCAAAGAAATAAAAATCTGAATAATAATGAAAAAAAGTACTTATTAATTGAAAACATCTTTTATATAATTTCTCGTAGTATTTGAAGTATCTCTCGCTAGACGTTGCAATTGGAAAAAATTATATTTTATAAAAAATTATATCAAGTTTATATTTCGCGATAGAATCAAAATAAATTAATTAGGCATTTTTTCAACAAAAATTGTTGACTTCATATATTTAATTAAAATAAATGTAAACTTTTGTAAAATAAAAAATTTCCTAACAAATTAAAAAATATATCAATTATTTCTTTCTTTCTTTGTTTCATTCGGAATATGAATAAACATCGAATTCAGATGTTAAAACACATAGATTGCTAATTTATTCTATTCTACTTTCTTTATATCAAAATTTTGACTATTGAAATTAAGACTATTTAGATCAAGATTAAAACTAATTTAATTTTGTAATTAAATATTAAAAAAACAAATTCCAAACTTTCCGATTTTGTAAAAAATCGAAAGAAAAGATCGTAATTTGCGGCGATAATTGTCACCGATTCGCTACCCATCTTTCATTCAGGAAACTAACAGCTATTCGACGTTAAGCGACTGCGAAAGCCCGTAACGTTCCCATCAGCATAAGGTACGGGACTCGACATGCGCCAGCTAAAGCGTAGACGCTAATATGCAAATCTCTCGTACTTGTCGGATTCGATTTAAATGTCACGCGTCTCACCGACGAGACGCGTCTACGAGACTTGCACTAATGATAGTCCCTTCCTTTTATACACTCGGAAAAATAACATTCATTCGCCGATCTCTTCGTTTCTATCGGAAGTATAAAACGAACGAATCATGCAATTAAAACTATCTAAAGGAAAACTATCTAAAGGAAAAAGTCCCTGTCTGCCCTTTTCAAATGTTACGAAGATATTTGATCACCACACTCACGGAACAGCATTTCTGTGTGTGTATCAAGCACCCCTACATACAATGCCGCGCTTATTGGAGAAATCCTGTCAAGGGATTGAGCGACAGCTGGAACGGAATCACGAAGAAAAGAAGAGTGTAACTAATCAATCTTCGAAGAAGATAAGATGAATTGTTCGGGGAAAGCAGTTGTTAGATATCGACCGAACAAACGCGACAATTAAATTATCGGCAATTCGCGACTATCATTCATCTCTGTGGAATGAAAATGATGTTAAATTAAAAAAAAACTGGAAGATATATTTTACGATTAATTTACGCTTAAAAGAATGCGAATTCCTCTTTCCCTGAAACGTATGCGTTTGTGATAATAAATAATATCTGGGCGAATAAAATCGAATATCAGACATAGGTACGCTAATTATCTCGTCAAGAATCTCATTGAATAATTTCGATGGCTAATAGCTCCTGTTGATAAGCTTCCCGACACGTGTATTATGCGGAAATTTGCATATTGGGGCCGGGGAAATTCGTATTGCATAACTTTACGTACGTGAAAGTTCACGAAAGGTGAATCGGGGCCGCTATTAGGAGAATCGAGAATCTCCCAAAGTCTTCAAGTAAATCTCGATTAGGCCATTTTACTTCGTCTCGCCTCTCGTGGACTATTATTATTGTTTGAGATTCTTTTTTTTAACGGCGAATTTACGAAAAAAAGAATTTATCTATTTTTTCGAGGCGATATTTGTCAAATTCCTCTTTAAAACTATTCTTTCTTGAGAAATATATCTATAATTAGGGGAGTAAATAAAGTAAAAGAAAAAATATATATCCTCCCATTTCTCGAAAATTAATTGGCGCAAATTTTATTCTAAAATAAAACTATTTTATACGAGTTACCGACGATTCAAATTTGGATTCCAGCATAGCGTAGATCGTGGTGCGATCTATAATGCTTCGTTGTCGATTAGCGTTTCTCTTGATCCTGCCCTCGTCATCTCCGCTCGTCTGTTCGATTTCCGTCACGTTTGTCGGCAATTCGTATTCTGCCTCAAGAAACATAGCCACCGACATCGTTGATGTTGGATCGTCCAGAGGAATGGCGAGAGCGAAAAAGAGCTAAAAAGAAAAAATATCACTTTGATTAGAATCGATCGGAATGTTTAATATCGTTTAGACTTCTCTGACAGCTCTCTTGACATTTATTGCTAGAGAAATTATCAAAATATCTGAATGTTTCATCCTCTCCCTGCTTGTCGAATACAGAAATCGTTTTTCAATGTCGCGTATCCAGCGAACGTTGCAATATTATTCGACTCGCATTATGTCGCAGCGGAAAAGCCGGCTGGTGCGTCGCGAGGGTAAAAAAAGGAAAACTCGTAATGACGGAGTCGCGTGATTAATCTTCCGGGAGAACAAAAGTTCGGCCTGCGAACTTTTCCTTGTTATAAATATGGATACTAGAAGTGAAATTCTCTCTTCGTGCGCGCGATCGTGATAGAGAGAAAGAGCGCGATAACGAAGACTTTCTTTCATCTCAAAACGCAGAGACTACTAGCTAACGAACCTGAAACTAAATCGAAATCAGGAGAAAGGGGAAATGTAGAAAATGTCTACGGGCGTTAAGAGACTTTACCGCAGAGCAACATGGAAAATGTACTTGTTAGATCCGCGATACAGTGTATTCGCTCAGAGCTCGTGTCACGAGATGTGTGTGAATATAAAATGAATGTAGAACATAGAATAATCTTCCCCCGAATTTCAGTGAAACGTACATGACAAGAACCTTAAATGAACTCATTAAGCTCGAAGAAGCAGTTAAGTTTTAATTAAGCTTTAATTAAAGCTTTTGCAATTATGTAATAATCATATATTTATTTTATATATATATGTATATATAATTAACATTATTAGTATATATTGTCAATATTAAAAAATCTCAGCTGTCTGATTATATTAACTTTAAGTCATTGTCTTTATCGTTATTATTTTATAATCGCTTATACAATTTATTATATATATGCTGTACTGAATCTGCGCATAATAGATCTGCGAAATTCAAAATAATGCATATCAATGTACTCTTTCAATTCCGGTAATTATGAACAGAGAAGAGACGCATATATAATTTAAATGGACTCATTCACTTCGTCGATATCGGTGCCATATTTCGCGAGAAGCTTTTTCAGGAAAGTGCATCTGATAGTCTCTTACATAATTCATTAATCCACCGAACGTTCTGCACTTCGCTAATTGAATTGTATCTATCGACTGATGTACGAAATTCCGAAAATGGAATTAACGCTGAATCGCGAGGATCAAACTGAAAATATTAATCCTTTGTACAATATAAATTCTAAATAACGATCCCTCCTCCTCCTCGATGGATCTTTTTCATCCGAATCTTTATATAAGTATTTTTCATTTCTTCATCGATAAAAAATTGTACGGAAATAATACATACATCATAAATATAATATTATACACGGTATCCTTTTACACGAACTATATATGACATATTACTTCACTATATCGGTACAGCATCTTAATCGAAAATTTTCTAACCCCCATCTTGCTGTCTTCCGGAAAGGACAGGCTCCTCACGTGACGTTGCATCGCATCCGTCATCCGCATTTCCATCGCGCTCGTGACAGCACAAAGAATCGCGGCAATTCTGTAAGAAAAGAGGACAAATAATTTTTTTTTTGCAAAACCAAGTGAAAGAAAAAAGCTGGGGCTATAAAGAAAGAAAAACGAATAATCGTGAAACGTGATAACGCGACCTCTTTTCGCGCGAAGGATTTTTTTAAATTCTTTGTCTTAGAATTCTTCACGATGATCGAGTACATCTCGTATGTCAAAAAAATAGTAAAAAAGCATTTTTATACCAAGTTTCTCACTAGAATCGCAAATCTTAATTTGACTGACATATTTTGATAGATGAATCTTTAGTGTTATCTTCCCCTTGGCAAAGAAGAGAGATCATCATTTTCAATTCTCAATACTAAATCTTTGAATTTACTTCCCATTTCTTATATCCCTTCTTGCACACGTGGAGAAGTATACTATGTTAAAAATATAGCAATCAGAAGGCATTTTATATCATAAACTAATAAAACACAGGGAAACAAGAAAAACAGTGAAAAGGACCATCGATGTTTTTTTCAAGCCTCTCTTTTTCCTCGACGTTTTTTTGCCCGATGGATGTGTACGTTCATGGACGAGCCGCAGATAGATTTCGTATATGAGCGAGCAGGATCGAGGGCCGCCGCCCCGTCGATGAAAGAGACGACGGGGATCGAGAACGTTGGGGAGATGTGCGCCCTCGGCTTGATTGTGGCTCCCAATCCCGGTACGAATCCCGGAGAGAGAAATTGCATTTCCTATTCGCGCGTATAAATGGAGGGCCCCGCGTCATTTCGTTTAAACAAACCGCGACCATACCGAGTTCTGTCCTTCATCAACCACGCGAACCCTTTGCGTGAAGGCTTGCAGTATCCATTTTGCAATATCTTAGTCTACCATCCTGTGTGTGTATTGCTATGTTTGTATGTATATGATGGACGCTTTGATTACGGTCCGGCAAATAATTCCGGCGCACATCATTTTCGAGGCTATTTGAAAGCTACAGTTCGAAATGAGAAAGCGAGCGAACCGAACGGGGCTCGACTTGAAGTCTTTAATCCTTTTTGATATAATTTATCCTTCATGCTCCTTCTTCTTTGATCTTTCGAACTTAATTACTATGCTCAAGTAATAATGAGATAATGTAAAAGAAGATGGTCTCTTTCTCTCTTGCGGAAGAAAAAGATGTATTCATTATTTCCCACGAACATAAAATAGCGAAAATTCATGAGACATTGATAATGCAATAATATATCGTTTCTTAAGTTTAAAATAATATTATATATTCACACTTTTCAAAAGTAATTTACCTTGTATATTAAAATAGGATATAAACACATTATTGTAATAGAAACATAATGTAATTAATATGCCTTTAAAGAGAAATTCTATATAAATTAATTGATAAGTTAATTATATTATAATTAAAATTAGATATACGTAATATATCTTACATAATTTTAAAAAATTACGTAAAAAATTTCGTAGAAATGTAATATAAAGCAATAATTTCCGTAAAAATGTGAAATAAGATATAATGTTACCGAATATAATATTCAACCGAAATTTAAAGATAACAAAACATAACTCAAAATTATTTTATAATACATTATACAAAAATGAAATATCTTTCTCGAAAAATAGTATCAATTATTTTTCGAGAAAACACAATTTCTTCTGTCATGATTTATATAATGTCATGTATAAATATATTATACAGTTTTTAGCATATATATTATTCATTTGAAAATAAGTTCCATGTTAAATAATGTTAATATTTAGTAGATTTGATATAATAGACTATAATAGACTTTCATATAAATTATATGTATATATATATATATATATATATATATATATATATATATATCGATAAATTTATATCTTACATAATTCCACCGGCGATTGAAGTCGTCGAAACAATCATTATCAGAAGTAGAAACGCTGATTTTATTTTAATTGAAAATTTTGCAGGTTAAAATATTTTCCACAGCAATAACTGAATCAGTGAGCATAAAAAAGGATTCCAGATTCACGTTGTCCAAATATTCTCAATCTTCTATAAAATACATTTAATTTCATGAATTCAATAAAATTTAAAAATTGTTATTAAAATATATGTTTCAAAAATCTTCGCCCTTTAAAACCTTTTTCTAGCTTTAAATTTTTATAAATCTTTGTTTTTGTAAAAATGTCTTTTTTCTTAAATTTGGCACACCTTGTATTATTCTAAGAGATGATGTTTATTTTATCCAATCACTGATTCTCTATCACTGCAATCACTTATAATATAATACATATATTCTTAAAAAATTATAGAGAGAACACAATACACATGTTAACGCTTCGACGTTCGAGTCGCGAAAGACATTTAACATACGGTTGTCATTCGTTACATCACCTCCAAGTCGATAACGCAACTCAAAAAGTCGATTACTCACATAAGCACATTGTACATTACATACTACATTAATTTTAAAATAATTAAACAATAAATTTAAAAAAATGAAAATGTGACAAAATAAAGACGACCTAACGCTTTCTAAAATCTTAAATGAAAGAAAATAAAGTTTAATTAAGATATAGTACATAATTAAACGCGCATAGCTAAAATAAAAAAACAGCCATTGAATTTAATTAGCGAAAAATTTCGTCGAAAGATTTTTTCCTAGCTTTAAAGAAGGTTTTAAAAGAACGAAGCGAATAATCGCGAATCGTCGTTCAATATCGTTAAGCGTGCTATTTAATGCATCTTCGAACAGCGATATCAAAGATTCCGAAGTTTCTCTTTTTTTGTGCGCATGTTTTCTCTAGAAGCAAAAGGGATTTTTGTTGAAAGGATTTTTTTAAATCGAACAACTTTAAATAACGATTGCAGTAGCTTTGCTGAACGTCAAAGAAATGTGAATCTCTGAACGCGATTGAGCAAGGAAAGAAAAAAAGATGCGTGAACTGTAGAAAAGCATTTCAACATTTACATCTACCAGTAAAATGCAAAGGATATATATATATATATATATATATATATATATATATTTATATATATATATATTATATTATTTAAAATATAAAATAATTATATATATATATATATATATATATATATATATAATTATTTTATATTTTAAATAATATAATCCCGAAAAGATTTTCTCAAAATATAGCAAAATATTTATAGCGTACTAAGACATATATCAATATATTTAAATTATTTATTTAAATCTCTTTCTCCAATTTTATTTAATTAAAATACTTTTTTATATACATTGTAAAAAAAATTAAAAATATTATATTATATAAATTTGTATGATAGTTTAAACCTACGTTTCCAATTAATTTTCACTAAAACAGTCTCTTGCGTGATAAAAAGTCAAGGTTTCCATTAAAAACCCTTACTCTCTAGTTTGCAATCTTATCGCGTCATTCTCAGAAAGTTGCTTGAGCACAGAGCCGACGACGTGAGAATGCTAAGTCACTTGAAAATTAATGTCGCAGCATCATTAGTCTAGTTGCCGAAAAAAAAGGGTGGCCTCGCGACAAGGACAAAACCTTACTCGACTTCATGGTTTGACCCCAATTCCCTGAGGTCGATCCATCGGCAAGAGGATAAAATCGTATCCTTTGCCGCATCCAAAGATCTGGCCATACGTGTATTCGGTTAAGAGCTGACAAAGCTAATTTGACGAAGTGCGCATTTGGGACTGAAGGACGTACTAAAGAGGACCGACAGGGACGACGAGAAAAACGCGAGTATTTACGAGAAATATGAACTGGCATCGGAAGCGGAAAGCGAATTCTAAGGAGAATTCGTTGGGTTTGGTCGGATCACTCGGTCAAACCGGTAGATCGCTCCTCGAGGATACCCCTCTCCCCCTTTCACATACAATTCTCGACAACTCGAAGAAAAACTGTACGGCACGTAGGGGGATGCTGAAAACGCGGAAAAAGGCGAAAAGAATCGAAGTGACTAGATCCTGACGTGACTTTTTCACAAGATTCGTGAGAAAAGAGAAGGGCGTTCCCGGACGATGTAAGCCCGGACGATATTGCGCGGCTCAGTGATCCTCAACTGGCTTAATCTTTCAATTTTGTAGAACAAAAAAAAATCATAAGGAAACCTTAAAAATTTGATCAGTTGTTAATCTATAAAAAATATTATTAATCTATAAAAAATATTGTTAATCTATAAAAAATATTATCTATAATAATCTATAATATATTATAACTCGCCAAAGAATTAGTATGATGTGATACTTCTCCTATGAAAACGTATTTGTATTAATTTGCTGAATTTAATTATAAAATTGAAGGTAGATTAAAACAAGTCACTTTTTTAGCAAGTTAATTTTATGTGGTGTACAATATCCCCGGATATCAAACTGATTTTCCTGAGGGAAAATATGAGCAGTTTTGAAGGAAAGTTTTGCGGTCATTCTGAGAGTTGTTAGCGAGTTTCGAATTGGAATTAAACTTTCATGACCTTTCGATCAAAGCGACCTTTCGATTAATAATACTGACTTGGCAACTTTCGCTTAACGTTATCGGAAATGAATAGTTATCGAATTTTTTCCCGAGAGTAATAAATGTCGCGCCGATTCTAGAAACTAATTCCACACATTCCAATTCGGGATGGAAGAGAAAAATATGCTTTCCGACATTAATTAACGCAAAGTTTCGATTCCGCATCAATTTGGAGGATATCCAGATTTTTCACGTCCTGTCTAATATTCTTATATAGAGTATACTATGTCACACTGTCGCGTCAACACTAAATGACAGCCGTTCTGGTTGATTTCAAATTAAAGTTTTTTCAATTAAAAGTGTCATCCAATTACATAGGATAGTTTGATATATAAAACTTTGAAAAAAAAGTGTGATTGCGATACTACAATACTGTATACTTACAATATATATATGTTTTATCTCATAAAATATATATTTTAAAGCTCTCTCTAATATGATTATTCCTTCCAACGAGTTAAAAGAAGAATATTCTTTTTTTACATTTTATAGAAAATAGATCTTCGCTTATTTAACGCTTTTATAAGTCAGTGAAAAATAACCGTGAAATTTATTTTTTTTTGTAGATATGCCATCTTTATGGAACCTTTCGAGCGAAAATTGGAAATAGATTCTGAAATAGGTAACCGCGACAGGGAAGGTCGAAATGACATTGCTCGGCGAACGAGAAACTCGAGGAGCCGTTTCTTCTCTCCACAGGTGCAGGGCAATCTGCGGTCGAAGGTAGATGATACGGTGAAATAATCGAAAAACGCATCACCGCGTATTGAAAGAAAAAAAAAGATTACAATTAAAATGAAGAATTAAAAATTTGCGACAAAAATTATGTGACTTTAATACATATATAATTATCGCACGTACATCGTTTTTATCGGTTTACTCTCAAATTTCGTTTACGTAAAACGATAAAGCTAACATCGCGGACAAGTACTAATTAAGTTGATGGCGCCTGATCATGGAGTCTGTTTTCATTACCGTCACGTTAATCGCGTCTCTGTGCAATTTCATTATGAGAATCTCTCGCAGACTCTGATAAGAGGGCGAACGACACTTTTCCTTGGAAAACTGCACGACGAATCTTCATCGGTGGTAATCTCGTCGCTTAACCCGATTAACCCTCCGATCGTCTATCTTGACCGGTCGAGACACAAGCGACAGGATCCCCGGGTGTTCTAGACATCACGAAAAATCGTTCGTCAATCAATCGTTCGGTTATCGGGCCTTTGAATTCGAGTTGTCGGTAGAGATCACGAATAATAATAGTCGGTGCTCCGGGATTCTCGAGAACAGTCGCAACGGATGTCGAACCGTCCTGGGTAAAAAGAGACCAAACGAAGAATCGTTCCTGTAATAGATGGAACCAGGGATTGAAAGGACTCGGCAGCATCATATATTGAGAACGAGTTAATTCTATGTTGCTGAGAAGGAAGCTCCAGTAAAAATTGGGTTCAAGCTTTCCTCTACTGCTCTTGTAAATATTATCATTGATAAGCAATGATTGCAGTTATAAATATAATAAATATAATAGTACTAGCAAATGAAATTTCACTGAAAAGAATTAATAATAATGATTGATTTTTCAATGAAACTGTCATTGTTTTCACTGAAATACTCACTGATCTTCTCGATGAAATCTTGTCATTTATAATCAGTGACATTTTCATTGATTCAGTTTAAAAGAATGCACAATAATGACGTTTATTGCATCCCAAATAGAGGATCTATCTGTATCGACATCAAAGTTGCATTCAACGCGTCGCCATGCGTCAATGTTCACGCCGTGTAGTTTCCGCAAATAGAATGGTTCTCACCGATAGCAACACGGGATTCCGAACGTCGGGGAGCTATAAACAAAAATCAACGTGCAAGATGTACAACTACGAGCGAAATGCAAACGTGCAAAAATAAAACGCAAGAATTCTCAACGGTACACAGTGCCAGGATATTATTCCAACATTCATTTCTTCAGGGATATTCCATACATTGCGTGTTTTTTGAGAGAGACTCGGCTGAAATGGAAGTAAAGATCACTTTTTCGTTCAACATACGAGCAGAGAAATGGGATGAATGTGTAATCAAAGGAATTAAAATTAATTCTAACCGGGGAGAAAAAGAACCGCGTTTTTGAATGTCTAATAACAACGGTGACGTTTGAAATGCAAACTCCATTTTTCCGGCCAAAGCCGGAAACGAATGTCGACGAATCTCGACTTCCTTCCCGTCCTTTTCGAAACGCGGCAATTTCCTCGGATAATAATCTCATCCACCTGACCCACCTTCGGAAATTATTCGATCTCATTCGGTCGCTCGCTGTCTGACGGAATAAATGCTTACCGTACACTTTTGCACAACCCCCTCTTATGCTCCCCTGCGACTCGAAATGTTTCGTCTACCGAAAGCCGATGGGGCGCGGCCGATGGTGGCTCGTGGAATGCCTTCGTACGTGGCTGGCAAGGTAGATGGTCGACGTTAACTCGCGGTGCACGGAATCGGGTTAATCGATTTCCGGGTAACATGCACGTACGAGACACATGTGCACCACGTAGGCGCCCCTATAGGCGTGACAGGGCAAGCAGGGTAAGGAGGGATCAGGAGGTGCGTTTGAACATATCGGGACCGAACAATATCGCTTATCGCAACAAAAACGACAATCGTGAACAGTGGTCCAATTTGTCGCCCGTCCAAAAGGTAAAACTGCTACTGAAAAATCTATATGTATACATCGTCCAAGGAATTTAATGTGTCTTTTTTTTCTTCTCCCATACACCTATTATTATATTTATGTATCTGGATTTTTATGGCGGTTTTACCTTCTATCTTTTCTGATTTTTTTTACAAGATTTATTATTACATGTAATAATTTTGAGGTAAACTATTCTTCTTATATAAAAACAAGCATTTAGAATTGTAAACAGCTTCAAAAACATTCTCCTGAAATATTAAACGAAGTATGAAACATTTAAGAGATTAAATTCTCGTTTAATTGGACTACGTGATATGGCTAGACCTGTGGGAAGAAACAAAACATTTTTGAAAAATGAGCTTAAAAAAATTAAGGAAAAAATAAAATAAAATTTGTATAAAATGCAACGATAAGTCATCGTTACATTGTTACATAAAAGGGCAATTACCACTTATGTAACATTTTTTCATTCTTCATTTGAAGGTGTCCCTTGCATTCCTCATCCTTTTGCCGACGATTATCCCCTACGGCCGCATTAATTCTCGTCAAGTCGTAAGTCACCAGCTCCGGCTGCCACAAGTAAGCTCATAATCGTTCCCGCTTCTCGTGCCGCTCAAAGCGAGCGCCGAACTTCGGTCAAAGTGGAAGATGAACTCGTCTGACGTGGCTCGGGGCGATTCGAGCCCCGGGGGGGGTTAGACAGAGGTTGGGCAAGAACGTGGAAAGCGGGAGATCCCGGACAGTATTTAATGCGGTTGCGCCCATTGCGCTCGTGGTCTGTTCCGGGGATAGAAGGGGAGGGCGGGAACCGCGACTTTATGCGATGTAATTCCGATGCAAATCTGTCTGTTGAACTTTTCGTCCGTTACGTCGCGTCGCGCTGGTCCGTGGTCGTGCTCTAGAGTACTCCAGTACTTTGTAGAGGGTGTCCCGAGTCTCGTGTACTTTCTCTTTTCTGTCTTCAAAATGAGCCTGGCGAACCTTTCTTTAAAGTGTAAATAGATTTATCAAGTTCTGGAATAACATTTACTTATTAAATGTAAAATAGATGTCAGGAAATATAGTGCAAACAATAATCACGAAGAGAAAATCTAAAGAAAATTGTATTAAAATAGTGACTTATGAAAATAAATATTTATAATGACAAATAACGCTGAAACAAGATACTGCAAATAAATTTAAACATGCTTTATTTCAATAAATTAGTTTGAAAAAATATTATATAACTCAGATTTAAACGACGACTTTTAATAGTCCATGAATCTTTTAAGCTCTTCTATAAAATAGTCATGAACAAAAAATAAATACTAGATTGCTACGTAAAAATTGCACAACTGTTATTTCCGTTCGAACACGATCGTTTATTTTAAAACGAAACAGAAAAAGCACTTGTTCTCCACTTTATGACTCGTATAATCGATCGATTTGATTCCGCGGCTCTACTGATAAAACACCAATTTCTGTAATAATATATATAAAATGCCAGGATATACGTTGTCTGTACAATGTTTCGCGGCATCCGCCCCTTTCTTGGGATACCTGAGCTTTGTAACGTTACCGAAATGGATCGCGTTTAACGAGGGCGAAGACACGGGCGCGTGTAACGCGCCGCAGATACGCGCCGTTCAGTCATTCACCCCCTCGAGAATTCTGCGACTACCCCGTAAACCCATTCGGTCTGGGGTGCGCGTGGGTGCGACGCTGGAAAGGTCGCGTTTAAATCACATGGGCGGGGCTGAAGGTCCCGGATACCGACCAGAAGCCGCCATCTGCACACCACAGGACGAACAACCCTCCGAGCTGTCAGATCGCTGTCCGCGATCCGAGGATCTGGAATTTTGTCCGCGAATTTGCGCCTATGTCATATGCCTTTCACCATTATTCGCATTTTATTCATCTCCTACTTTATTCTTTTATTTATAATATATTTATGTATGTTTTTCATATTCCTTATTTCTCATTTTTTATCACTTTATATATATTTTATATATGTATATATTTTTTTTTCTTTTTATATTATATATTTTTCATATATATTATATATTTTTTTATACATATATTATATATATTTTCTCCTTTTAAACCCCTGATTAAATGTATCTTAATTATTTAGTTATTTGATTAATTATTTAATTGAATTCATCTCATAATCAATATTCATGATTCTGAACTTGCGGAATTTCATCCGAAAATGAATAAAAAGTTAAAAGTCAAATTAAAAGTTATATTTTTCCCTCTTCTTCTATATCTTTCAATAGAATTTTTGCACATGCTCTTTCAACTATAAAATTTCAATATAAGGTAACACTTGTGTGTTTCACACACATATTTCATAAAAATCGCAGTGAACATTTACGCAGAATAGCGTTACGCTTATCGACGCCGCATCGTCTGAATCGCTCCTTGGCAAGATAAGATTCCGCTTTGGAATTTCTCGCAATGTCTACCTGCCGCGATCGCTTGTTACGTGCACAACGACAATGGTATCCTGGTAGTCACCCGACCACCATCGTTCCCGAGCACACACGAGTAAGCCGCGCATCTCGCATTCCGCAGCCCTGCAGAAAATTGCGACGGAAATCTCCGGCGTTGTTCTATGTACCGCAGGCGCATCATAAAATTTTCCTCGCGCAATTCCTCCGTAAATCTCGCATCCTTTATTTCAATGAGCGCGCGATATTGCCCGAGCGCAAAAACGATTCGCACGCGCGGAACGAATTATTTTGTGTAAAAAAGAACAGAAATGGGATATTACTAATAATTCATTTTTGTCGAGTAGCATCTGCGATGGACACATTCCTTCGATACATAAAATGCGAGAGAGAACAATAGTTTATTTATTAATAATTATGAAAATAATATCTATTTAATTCTATAACATGTATAAAAATACAAACTTAATAAAATATATATATATTTATATATCTATTATATATAGAGAGAGAAAAAGCTTATAAAAGGAGAGAAAATAAAAACGATTTTACAAACTCTAAGAAAATGTACAAAAATATTTTTTATAGCTATTTAAAAAAAAAAATGAGGATTAATTCAATAACTGTGCACGAATTATAAAAAACACAAAAACGAGATAAAATAGAAAAAAAACCGTAACAATGTACAAGATCGAAATGTAGCTTGAAGGTTGACTTTTTTGGAAAACCAGGTTGCCCCACGTATACACAATGCAGATAAATGTGTCTCGTGACCCAAAAATGATTGTCAGCCTACGACCGACTGTCACCCCGAGTATTTGACTTGCAAGATGCAGCGGAGACCGCTAAATTCATGATACGTTAATCAATAATATATTTAATCTGTGAAACATCGTAGATATTCCTGCTGGGAGACATAATGAAAGGTGGTTTCTGAACATTATTCAACAACATCCAATCGCAGAAGTCCGGTGATGTATCGAAGAGGGAAGAAGTGGGAGAGGGAGGAAACGGGGATGAAGGGACTGCTATACGTAAAGTCTTGGGGAATAATTACAAGTTCGCCATTGAATCAGGAATGTACCAAACAAGCTAGAAACGGACACTCTGCAATTCCATTATTAATTCAATTAGTGCTAGATGCATACTGATCGCGAGATTAATTCATCCCGTGGATCATAATCTCATTCCACCATCTGAACGATTGGAGCTGGCCGATATCGCTCGCTACACAACGGGTAGATCTCAAATTCACTCCCTCGAATCAATATGGATTTTTCCCTAAATAAATATTGAAATAATAATTTCAGTGAATATATATAATACTGGAATGAAATTTAAGAACAAATGTTTTCAGGTATTAATTGTTATATTAAAAGCGGATAACAAGATATTATTTTTTTAATTACAAGTTAATTTTATTTTAATGTAGTTTTAATTCAAGATGTAATTATCAAATACTTAATGTTGAAATTAAAAAATAAGCTCCAATAAAAGAGAGTGACGAGATTGATCGAAGAGATTCGAAGTCCGCAAATTGAGGCGCGAGAGATAAATCTGAAACACCGTATGTAAATCCGTTTATTCATTCAGTCTGATTTGGATTTTGATTTTGCTAAAGTGATTTTGAAATGCGATCTTGATACACGACGTGGAAGAGGAATGATATTTTGAAAACTAGATTCTGTAATCAAAATATTTGCGAAAAGCGTATATACGACAATCTGTATACAAATGCATTGTACAAACACAATTTATTTCGTCACTCAAAATTTAAATAATTACATTTGCAAATAAAACATTCCCATATACGATCTATTAAAGCAAAGGAAAACATTGAAAATAAATGAAGTTAAAACAATGTTTAAAACGTACAAATATTTATAAATTTTTATATGAAGAATATTGGAAAAAGTGACAAGATGTTTTGATTGCGTAACGTTAAATGTAATTTGCAAGATGTTAAATCTTGCTGTCTAGTTACTATATATTAGCATCGCAAAATGCTCGTAACAAAGTGAAAACCATAACTGTACTTTAGCAACGACTGCAATTATTAGCTTTATGCAAATTACCGGATTATTTTTTTCTCGCATATCCTTGCGATCCATATAAATCGTTAATTCGACATTCGGTGAAATCTTTGTGTGAGTTTCGCGCAACGTGTACGTTAAAAGAATGAGGAAGTGAGTATTCTGTTACTTATGTAAATAACGTTGTGAAATTTTATTTTAAAATGTGATTACGCTAATTGTTAAAAAATACAGGGTAATACGCACGATAAAAAGAAGCGCAAAATATTTACTGACACGATATGTGTGACTTGTCAAGGGAAATAAACTTGTTTTGTTTATGTGCCAGCGAAAATTCCTGAAATCGCATGGACGAACGAATATTTACATTTAACGCGAAAACCAATGAAGCGGTCGGCAAAATCAAAACAATTCGTGAAATAAAGAAACGAGCAAACAGATGCGGCGCACATACATTTTTATGTTTTTTATCGAGATATTGATCGTCCCGGAAACACCACACGCGATTCTCGAATGAACAATATCCGAGGATATTACAGAAACGTTATCTTGATAATATTCTTAAATATATTCCGGTATCTAAATATTCAGCTATTTATTTTACATAATATTCTATTTATTTTACAAAATGAATTTAACAATAAGTATCATTGTTGCACTATTGCTTCTCTCTTGAATCCCATTTATGAATATCGTTACTGATAAAAGTTGCATGAATACAACAATGTACGTATAATCGAAATAAAGCGACACATGGCCAATTCTAAACCGAAACAATATTTTTATTTAAATATATTTTAATGAAGAAATCATGATTGAAAAATAATTCTTAATTATTATAAAAATGTTTAATATTCAATTATTAAATATATATAATTAATAATTATATATATTTAATAATTGAATATTAAACAAAACCTTCGAAAATCACATAAAATAAATAGTTGTCACACAAAATAATTGTTGTGATCAATTCGATAAATAAATAAAAGTATCAATGAAATTATTGTGTTTTCCCGAAATATTTCAGATATCGAATTACGGTGTTGGCTCTTTTGATGTGCTTCATGAAGTCAGCACGTGTATTGGGAGTGAAAAATATTACACATGGTATATCGAGACATATACGATCTATAGGATTTCCCGAGGGTAGCACACTGGGGGTATGGTGGATCAATCATTCATTTTTCATCTACTAATGCGTTTCGAATTATATGAGCAACCTGTTAACTCAATATTAATCATTTTCACTTCACGTACATTTGCGAAGTAAGATTTCCAAAAAAATCGAGAAATCTCACATAAACGTTTTCCTATAATGAAAGCTTCAATCTTATTCTATTGGAGAGAGATTTTCAAAGATATGTAATTTATTCATCATAAAATTATTATTACAACAGAAAATCGTAAAAATTGTAATTTATTTTTATTAATATTTCCTCAGAATTTGTAAATATTTTTTTCACAATTTATTTATAAAATATTTTAACATTCTATGAAAATTATATGAAGAAACGAGTATTGTATGAAAGATAACATTACTATTTATCAACTCACTATTTTTATTTACAGATATTCTTCGCCTTAGGAATCCCCTTAGATATTCCCGACAAGTCTATATCGGTGGCATTTTATTTCGAAGCGAATTATGGATTGCCAAATGAATGGAATTCGACTTACTTTTACGAGGAAGATTATTATACAAAACGAAGTCTTAGTCGTCAATTAGTTTACAAGATGCTCATAAATAAAATGGAACGGTAACAAAATTACGCACACGTATCAAATAATGTTTTTTTATAAAGCATATCTCGCATCTCGGTTATCAAATCTTTTTACTGAAAATCTTACTATGTAGTTTTCGATATTGAGATTATGCTTTAAAATATAGTATTTTGCAAATGAAATTTGAAATATGATTAATATAATTTTATGTCTCTTGAAGCCTAGGTTATTCTGGATTAGATTGTTTGCTGAGAATGATTTGTGAAGCTACAAGATATTCTTTAAGCGAAAATGGATTACTTGGCGACATCCTACAAATCATACTCACGTAAGTATTGAATATAAAAGAATTACACTTGATACTATCAAGTAAAAATATAAAGATATTATATAAATCACTAATTACAAGAAGTACACTTGATATTATCAAGTGAAGATATTAAAGAAGTATCAATAATTACTTTAATTTATTAGTCAGCATATAATATAAGCATATAGATAAGAATGCGATGCAAGAGGTCTAGAAAATAAGGTTTAAATCAATTAATGATTTACTTTTATTTCTCATCGAAATGTTTCATCCAGACATTTATATAATCAAGTATGGGGCATGCCTTAAACGAATAATATAAGAATTTTAACATTTGTTTACACCTTTTTGTTGCAGACCCTCCACATCGAGAAGCGAAAATCTTCCGAACGAGATTATAGAAGCCGAATATGGGCAGCAATGCGATCAGCGCTATAAAAAATGCTCTATGAATCCTTTAGATTTAATAAGCTATTACATTAATTTATGAATATAACTTCCTTCCTAATTAATACTTAATTGTATTGAATCATACGAATAATTGCAAATGTTTAAATATTTATTAATTTAGATAACTCGAATTTATCGAAAAAGACCCTCACAAGTATCTGTTGGAAACTTTATCAGTTGAAAAAGACGATATTTACGCAAGATGTGTTATATTCAATAATAGAAGAAAAATTTAGAAAATTACTAATTCAATACAATGATAGACACATATTGCAATTTTGCAACACAAGGTAATCAGATCAAAAATATAAATAGCAGAAATTGAAAATATTGTAATCTGCTCTTCATAACTACTTTTTCTGTATTTCGTTTCTTACATCTATTCATTACATGCATATACACATTTATATTTAAGAAATCTTTAAATGCAAAGTTTACTACGAGCTTGTTCTTTATGATACAAGCTTTCTACTATCGAAAATATACATTATACATGGAATCTTTTTTCTTATTTTTTTCATCTTTATTTTACCCTTCCTAAAGAACTTATGAAAATGCTACATTATATTTATGCAAATACAAAAGCACATCTCTTGTATGTTTTCTATACAAATTCTACTATACTGATCATTTTGGATTCTTGGATTTTTTCTTTAATTCCAAATATAACTAGACTAAATAATACAATTTCATAGACTTAGTATCTTTCTTACGAAACTCTTATGAATACAAGTGAAATTAGAAAATATCATTATAAAATGCAAAAAAAGATGTGATGCATTTGAAAATATTCTCCATTATTGTATTTTAAGCCCGAAAACTATACGCTCTTCAATTAATTCTTTTATCCGACGAAGTAATACAAATCGTACTATGAACAATCATTTATTGAAGCTTTTTTGCTTAGATATTTCTTCCCTAATGGAAAAATTGTATGTATAATTAATTAAAGACAAATGGAAAATTCCAATAAGTTATAAATAATATTTAAAATAAAAAATATTTGGCACTTAAATGTAAAAAAAGTATTTGCAACTTTTTATTAAAAAAAAATTAATATAATTAACTTTTCTTTAAAATTGATGTTTGTAACTTTTCAATTTTAATTTTTATAATTAATTAAGAGATTTAAATTTTTGTATCCAAAATTTGTGCCTTAAATTTTTTTCGTTACAAGAACTTTATATGAATGTTATAAATCACGATTTTCGGTTCGTATTGAAATATGTCACCGGGAACATAATAGAAATTGGATCACTTCAATTCAAACTTTCGCTCAACTTCATTAAGGCTCCAAAAAATCTCCCTTTTACTTCTTATTCCTTCAGTTTGTTAACCGCAGAGACAGGTACAGCGATCGTTCCTTCCACCGCAGCGCGGCTCGATTGCAGATAATGCAACATATTTTCGTAGACCACGAATGTGATAACTGTCGCTGGTGTCACCCTGGTGAGGTTTACACTTAAACCCTTGTAAAAGCCATGCCAACCCTCATACCTGCAACGAACCACCAGCAATACGCCTTTGTTTTATTTGCTTTACAACAAAAGACTGAAGATGTGAAGCATCGTATAAAACACTTTTAATTTAACCCGCGTACGATTCTTGACGCTATATAGAATTTATTACGAAAATTCAAAATCATAAACAGTCGGAAAGAATTGATAATCTCCTTTTTACTGCTCTAATAATTCGGCGAAAATTTAAATTAAAAAGAAAACAATGTTTTTCTAAATCATACGGTTTCTCTTACACTTAAATGAAATAAGCGCATATATTTAAGCGATAAGTGTTATTTATTTTTAAGATAAATTTATGTAAATTACGATAAATATCCAATAATTCACATCATCCTATCATATGTTCAAAAATCGTACTGCTGGTGGCTTAACAAACTACCGAACAAATAACGTAATCAATAACATGTTTAGTCACAATACCTTTCTACATGCTATCTCCTGTAAGTGGCGATAAAATAGTTTCAATGCAAAATAGACTTGGAAAAATATAATCTATTAAATCACATATATGCTTAATGACATCTTTCACTGCCAATAAGAATCTATGTCGATAGTATGAAATTGGGAGAACAAAGAAATCAAGTCTAGGGAAACTCAGATAGCGTAATCTGAAGAATGTAGCTAATTCAAAACAACAAACAAACATTTTCCGATATGTGTGTGTTGTATTTATTAATATCGTCACAATGTTGCTTTTAAGTATGCATCTTTGCGTGTTTATTTTATTATCGAAGAAACAGATTCTAACTAGATTTATAGCTAAAGGAATTGATATAAATAAATTCATCCTACTATTTACAAATTGCACGGAAACTTATTGCTATCTATCGCATTTTCCGAGTGCCAGATTCTATGACAATTCTCGAAAAATTAATCCATCACGAACCTCTGTGTAATATTCAATTTAGAATGAGGTATAAATAATTACAGAGAGCCGCTTATGTAAAAAGAAAGTATATACATGTATAAGACACAGAGATAGATTGTGAACTTTTACTACATTTGCTAAAAAAAAGAATTGTCTAAAAGAATGTCTAAATTAAAGACCGCACTGAGACTCATCGAGTCAAAGCGGAGACATAAAACTCATCAGTTTACACATGTGGTTCGCATACATTATGCATCAAAAATAGTTCGAGCATTATACAGACATATATATATTAGTCATATAGTCACATAGTTATGTAAATATTTGGTTATTAATTAACTATTAAAGATTATATACTATCTCTTTCGCCGAGAATTGAGTGTGTTCTTATAACTCTTTACATAAAGCACATTAATTAGCTTATACTTCAGTACATCTTTCGTTCTCTTTCTTTCATTTATACCAAACTAACGTGCCTAAAGTGTGCCTAATTAAATCCAGTTTAGATATTTTACATTTCGATAAACAAAGATGAGCATGTTCATTTATTTATTTGTCTTGCAATCTAACCTTATATGATTAGAAGACACTTCAGTTGAAATATATTGTGCTGTTGTATAAGAAAACTTCCCTTGCATTAAATACATCAGCCACAACAAATTTTATGCAAGGAATTTATAAATTAAGCGAGAAGTAGATTAATTCCTTGTCGATTCTACATCGCAGTCTCTCAATATTCTTGGATAAGAAACGATATAGTTGAATAAATAAAACGCATACGTTTTATGCAACATGCTACGAACTATTTGCCACTTCACCTTTCAAGATCCATTTTTCTTTTGTAATAATTACGAATTGAATTACAATTTATACGAGTATACAAGTAAAATGATAATAGTAAAAGCAATGATTTGCTTCCCTATATCGAACAATTTTTTTCTCACCGTGCAACAAATCTAATATCAGTTAATAGAGATACAAATAATAGAAAATATCATATAGTTTCATCAATATAGTTTTCACTTTAAATACTAGAAAGAAAAGTAATACATATCCATCTGTCTCATCTAATCAAATAAAATAAAAATTATTAATAGAATGATAATCGTCAGAGCTATCTTTTAAACTTCTTCCATAAATGACAAAAATAATTTGACATAAGGATAATTTTCTATATAAAAAGTTTCTTGAAATAAAAATTATTCTGCACTATATTATCTATTTGAATACGTTGTAACACAACGCGTGATATTCAGCTATTGTTTAAAATAAAGTATATCAATGCCTCGCATTATCAAAAAATCATACATGTGAGCATCCTGCATTGAGTTTTGGTATATCAGAAAAAATATTACGCTCTGTAGAAGGTTAAAAAATTGACTAAAAATTTTCTTATAATAAGATGTCAATTCAAATTAACTACCGTTAGTAAAATGCTCATAAATAAGAATAATCAGACATATGTTTGGCGTAACATGTAAAAGGTATGGTGATAAGCCTTTATAGAAACCCTTAATCCTTTCTGACCTCCATGTGCATTGAATGCAATGCCAGGTGCCCCGATAATCATGATGATGATCCTGAAGTCGTGCCCTTATCACTTGATAAGGATACGTCGACGCTGCAGCGATCAGTTTCGACATCGCGGCGAAGATGATATATTCGGTTGTACTCTGTATGAAAGAAACAAGCACGAATATTTTAAATTATCCATCGTTAAATTATTCATTGTTATTCTAAATTTGATTTATTTTAAATTTATATTCAGTTTATATTCAGTTTCAACTTAAAGTCTTCTTTGTGAATTGATAATATTATAAATGATGTTGCCATATTCTGTGTATAAATTAGCAAAAGAAAGAGAATTATAAAAAAGAGAATTAAAAAATTTATAGTAATATAGAAGTTTAAACATATAGAAATTATAATATAGTATTCTAAATCTTCTGCATCTTATAGTCTTATCAAAATTTCAATAAAAATATAATCAACTCACCAATTTCGTATCAATGGGCACATTTAAATAATTATAGTATTTGTTCTTCATTTCCTCATACGCCATGAACTGTATCGCACCGTGCGAGACACCAAACAATCCAGGAACTAAACCCTGCAGAAGAATACATCGGTATAATAATTTTCGTTAATTATAAACTGTAATAACATTTTATTTCGAATTCAATTAACTTTCGATTTAATCATAAAAAAACATTTGCTTGCCTTATATAAGCCTCTAATGCCCTCCGTCTTGTAAATCTTCTTTAAAGCATCTACCATTCCACGATATCTCTTGGACTCCGCCACATTCACATCCTCAGCATATTGTAAACACAGCCGCGTTTTCACCACCCAGATCGGATTAGTCATGAGCAAGGTAAGCACTCCGGCGTCAGCGGCGGCGAACATATGCATGGACGGTCCAAGCGGTTTCTTTGAGTTACCACCTTGGATTGAAGTCTTTATTGTGTTATAGCTGTAAATTAAATCTGTATTTTCGGCATATGTAAGGATAAAAGATGTATAAAGAAGAAATAAACAATGCTAATCAATGAACCTTACATGGAAATTTTTATCATCTTGCAATTTTAATTCTGCGTTAATTATACGCATTAAAAATCGAGCGTAAAATAATCGCTAAATTTTTATATCAGCAATATTAAGCAACCACATATAATACTGTACTTACAAGAAAAAGTAGAAACCCCATGAACTTCCTGATCCTAAGACATTTGGCGTTACTCCTCTATAAAGTCCACGCACTCCCTCGGTTTTAACAATCTGAACCATCGCATTCGTGAGTCCATTGTATCGCGGTGCTGCACTCGTGTGACCATCATTTACTGCAAGATAACAAAACCTAAATAAGTCGCACCACAACTTATTTAGACGACACGTCTATTCTCGTTAAAATTATCATAACGTTACCGTTATGTATGATGCGCTTAACATTTTGTTATAAAAATCTATGTCACAACTAATGGGATTTACGACTACGATGTCGACATTCATCGCTCTGTTAATTAAACTATTCGCCGTCAATGCATTTCGCAATAAGCAGCATCTATTGTTATGCTCAAATACATTTTCAACATATATAGGTATCACATATGTATGCACATATGTATGCACATAAATATATATACATATCATTGTATCGAATATCGACTCGCTTTATCTACAACATTAGTTTCATATCGCGTCTCGCACTGCGAGAAAACAACAATATCGTCTTGCGATATGCCTTATTTTCCGAGAAATTATTTTCTTAAATATTCAAAAGGAATTTCCTCTTGATATATTTTTACGTAGAAGACATGCTGTATGACGAAATATAAATACTTAGAATTCAATTACACGCATTTCTTACATTCTGGATTTTTTATATAATTTAATACACAGTTCATATATATAATATGATCTAATATACATGACACAATTTAATAATATGGTATACAAAAAAATAATTTATAAATATTATTTCTTTTCCACAGAGAGAGATCACATAAAGAGAGAAAAGACATAAATTTTATGTCAAATTACACTGTAAAAAAATTTTGTGTAAATTTACAACTATTATAGTGGATAATATTGAGACCAACTATTAAAGGTGTATATTTACATACATTAGTAAATTTACATTTTATAGATAAAATTATTATCTTAAATGGTAAGTAAGCATCTTATACTAATAAATTTACATGTTAGAAGTAGATTTCTAGAAATGTTTATGTAATAATACATTTTGTATATGTATTTATACAATTTTACATATTAAATTTAGTTTAAAATTACGTACATAATTAATGTAACAATTACGCTATTTATAACGAAAATATATAAATTCATGTACTTTTACAAAAATTAGTTCTTTTACTCTTTATTGTGTAAATTTTCTATAAATGTTATAAAAAATTGTACATTTACATAAAATCCAAAAATTACACTTTTAACCTTGTAATTTCTCATCAAATACAAACAACTATTTACAGAATAAAGAGTAAAAAAACTAATTTTTGTAAAAGTACATGAATTTATATATTTCCGTTATAAATAGCGTAATTGTTACACTGATTATATGTGTAATTTTACATACTTTTTTTACAGTGTATTATACAGATAGCGTTTTATTCAAAGTTAGTATAGAAATTAATCTACAATAGTGATGTTGCTTGAAAATATCATCCTAAGGTAGGTCACGGTGTGGAAGGAACAAGAAAAAAATATAATTACCATCTGCGAGGTACAATCTACTTTCGCTTTCATGAATAACGGTGATTTCACGTGACCAGAAACTGTCCTATGAATGCGATTTTATGTATCCAAGATATTTCTGATGAAATTTCCTTTACGGATCTCTTCATCTTTAATTTACAATCACATCTTTTCCTTGACAAACATTTTTAGATTGCTACATTATTTTACAATCGAGCAACATGATATTAAGTAAATAAAAAGTCATGCAACACAAGCAAACAAGCATTTTAGATTTTTTTATTCACTTATAATTTTAAAAAATATCAATATTTTAAATTAAAGTTATAAGTGAGTAAAAAAAAAAGAAAAATGAATGAATGAAAAAAATTTTTTTCCACGTTTCTTAAATTTTTAATATTAGATATGTGTACATACAAGTGAAAAATAAAAAGTATATTATTATATGTATTATTAGAGTCAATTATACACTATCAGAAAATTAAGAAAAAGTTGAAATTATATACATTTATATATTTACGAAAAAATGCATCTATGAAATTTGATTTAATAATCGTATCTATTAAATTTAAGATGTGGAATCAGCTGTATCAGCGTCACACTTTCTGTCTTTCTCTCTTTCTCTAAATGTGCGACAAGACGATTCAATAACGTCACGTGACATAACTGACGCAACTCGCGAAATTCGCGTGACTTATGTTAGTGTTTGGTGAACGGCCAATGAATATTTCGTTAAAAATACTACTGTTTTTCCCAACAAGTCTTATTCGTCTCTATGTATTTCGTGCCGCATTTAATGCTAAGTACGCACATTTGTCTCCTTATCCAGTTATGACTACTTCATTAAAAAAAGTCATTTAAAACACGAGGAGAAACTTTCCTGACCTTATCTTGTTTTGAATGGAATTCATTTCGCTTGAGTTTCACAACTTTAAAGGTGACTAATATCAGCCGAATCTTTAAACTCTGTAGCGAATAAAAATACATACAAAAGACCTTCGACTGTGATCCGTTATCAATCTCGAGACGGAAGTCAAATTTCTTAAACAAGCAAGATATGAATAATCAAAAGCTGATTGTATTCGCAACGTAGCGTATTGAGAAACATCGTTATTCAAAAGAGCAATTTATTAATCTGACGTGCAATAATGGTATATTAAATGATGTCTCTATAAGAAGTCTCTAGAAGTCTCTAGTTTGCTAAACAGCTGTTAATATTAAGTGTTATACCTATTTTACAAGAACTATTTCTGATTCATTTTAATATTTTTCTCGCTTCTGCGAATTTTGTATGTATGCATGTATGTAGGAATTTATTTGTGATCTCACACTTGCTGAGAAATCACAATATAAACAAGATATTACATGTTGGACAAATGCCAATGTAAGAGCTTCAAAACACAAGAAAAGTCGAATATAAACATGTGTATTCGAAAACGAATGTTTTTTTTTAAACTAATGTTTTAAATTATAATCGAACAATAAATAATTTGATTTGGTAAAATATCTACCTATAATAAACTATAATAGGCGTTATTAAATTACGATCACTTTCACGATTTTACATTACAGAGATAATACGCGGAGAAAAAACTTTTATCTTACTGTAAAAGAAAATCATGTGCAATTTATCGCTAAGATTGACTACATATGATAATTTCTTTGTCACATTTCTTTTCATAAAAAATTTCTATAATATATATCTACCGTGAATAATTGACGATTATGCAATAATTGCGATGTTTTCGATATTGCATAAACAAATTAATTAATTGAAATCAGATTCATTGACGTAACGTGAAAAAATGATTAAGAAATATGTACTTATTTTGACGTTGTAAGCTGCGTCAATAATATCTGTTTTTATCCTTAATAATTATATAACGAATAAATTTATCTATTTAACAAATTCACTATAAAATAAGTCACAATTTATAGTAAACTTAATTTATGACTTATTTTAATTTATTTTAATAAATTAAATTTAATATTTTTAATAAATTTAAATTTATTTACGTAAAAAAAAGAACACATAATAAAAATATAGATTTAATTATGAATGTTAAAATATATATGTACTTATATGGTAGAACAAATTATTCATATGATTAAATGCGAATGTGATGATTATATAATCGTTGTATCAATCATCGTATATTAAAGCGAAAGATACTTTACGCAAGTAAACTCTGGTATCGACACGTGATGAACGTAGATTAATATGTCCCTCCCAATAAATAACTTAATTTATTTCTAACAATAAGACTTCAATAAATCTGATGAAACTTCTGTTCAAACTTCAAAATTCCCAACAAACATTTCGAATTTAAACGTTTCGTTTATTCATATTATTTGAATTTATGTATCATATTTTATCATGTTAATTATCTGGCTTTCTAAAACGATTAAACACGCATTTATCAACGTCCTTATAATCATTTTCTTTTCGTAGAAATATCTTGTCATCAGAATTTATGTACGCTTATTTAAATGTGCTCTATTACTATGAACTTAATTTACATTATACGTTTCTTTCTCCGATATTTGCCCTAGATAACATTCTCTGTAATGAATAATTTTTTTCGCTTTATTCCTAATCCTAGTATTATCATAATGCAGAATTTACGCAAATAACTTAAAATAGTTGTCTTATTGATTTCTTTGTCCTCCAGATAAAATCTTTATATCAACACGAATTTAATCTATAATGATAATATAAATTATAACGATATCAGTCTTCTATTAATTCAATAATTATACATAAATATAATTGTATATATATAATAATTACACATAAATATTTCATTAACAAAATACTGATTAGAGAAATTCTTATTACCGTCAATTTATCGCGACAATACTCAAAAATAATACAAATATAAATAAATTAAAACAGCAAAAAAAGATTTTTAATTTATCAACGTAAATATTAGTTACCGATTTACTCTTTCTTTTATAGTTATTTTTGGTATCATTTAGTCATTCGAAATAACTAGAAAACAAGATGTTAAAATTCAACGTCAAATAATTTAGAATTCAAATAATGTAATCTCTCACATATTGTTTCGTTAAAATGAATTCGTGTAGAATTATTTTAAGATGCAATGCTGTCGTTGAAAGCAGTTTTATCATTCGCGTAGACAAATTTTAATAGGCATTCAGATTCGTCAATTATATAAACATTAAGTATCGCAGAACGTTAACCTAGCATGACATCATCATCGAGCAAAAAACGGCAGAAACATGTGTCTTTTGAAAGCTATCTAATCTAAATCTTACGAATAATTATCATGACAAGTAGTTAATAAAAAGATAATCGAGACCCACGCTCAACTTACTAAAAACTATCGCTATCGTATCATTATTAAATAAAAATAAAGGAAATTCATTATCAATGGAATATCACCATAATATTGAATATACACAATTCCTTATCAATAGATTATTATCATCATAATACTGATAATATACACGTCCAGATAATATTCAACATTTAAAAATAAGACGCTTTTCAATATTTCTCTCTAGGATTTAAAAATAAAAAGAAATATGTAGAACGCAATTTATGTATCTTTTTCATATCTTTTAAACGGAAAAAAATTATTACGAACGTTCTTTGTGTGGTTTTGATGATTCACAATGGTATATCGATCTCAAGTAGCACAAAATCGAATATTATGATGAAAAACTTTCCAATTTTGCCGTTTTATTTACACGCGCGTAACGAAAAGTGAAACTCGATTCACTTTTTATTATCATGTCTTTAATTCGAAGAAACGAATTTATTTATTTGTATGAAAGAAAAACGTAGAAAAATATTAACTCAGTTCGTAAATTTTACGTTATTATCTGTACTAGTTCTTTTTTTTAACGAGGCGATAAATTGTGTCAGCTCGTTATTCTACAATCACCTTCTCGACAAAAGTCCATCTCATATATGTCGCAACATTTCATAAATCAGAATACATAATATTTAGTCTGTATCTCTCACAAAAGAAAATTTCGTCGCAAAAAATTTATTCGTACGAGATAAATTCCATTCGTATAAATTGATATATATATATATATATATATATATATATATATATATATATATATATATTAACGCAATGTATAATTTTGTGAGAGAAAACGTTTTTGAATTTCTTCAAAAAAGTTTTCTCTCACAAAATTATACGTTGCGTAAAATATAAATAAAATAGATATTAAACTAGAGTTATGTATTACAGTCCACTTATTTATTTAATCTATTCCTTTTTATCGATTCTTATCGATTTATTCTTTTCTTATCAATCTTTTATAGCTTTTAAGAAATTAGTAGTAAGAAAACGAATTATATACATAGAATATTATATATTAATTAGACTGGACGTAATTGTTAGTATTAATTTATCAACATTAATTTATTAGCGTAATTAATTTTTAAAATCTAAAAGATTATATGAATCTATTTATTTAGAATTCGTTTATCAAGCTATTTATGAATAATATTAAATTATATAATTAGTTTTAACATTATAGCATTTAATAATGATTAAATTTAATTTTTAAATATGTAATAAATGCAATTAAATATATAATAAATTATTAATATATTTTATTTTTTTTATTTTAAATATATAATAAATATAATAAATACAATATTTGTTACAATTAATCTTTGTGAATATTGCTTTCAATCAATGTTATAAAAGGTAATTAAGTCAAGATTAAAATTGTGATAAAATAAAACTATTTTACAAGGATTATTATGTTATTTTTCATGGTAAAAATGATTCAAGATTTCAAAAATTAAATGGTACAATTCAAATTAGTCCAATTTATTAGAATCTACGAAATAATTAATATACATGTAAGCACAGAAAAAATTGGAAACAATTTCGCAAATAAATATACATCATCTTTTACCATTTGCCTAACATTTAATGGAAAATAGAATTAAAAAGAAACACGTTGAGCACATTGTTTTAACCTTGAATAAAATGATAAATTCAGTCTGATACACTACACTGATTTAGAAAGTAGCTATACATGATGAATCTATAAATTAAATATCTCAAAAATTCGTTATATATATCTCAATCTCTACATTTATTATATTTACTTATAGATATATTTTTATATTTCAGTCTACATATTTTTTTCTCACAAACCCCTATTTGATTAAAAAAAAAAGAAATTAAGAAAAAAAGAAAAAACCCCGATTGGATTAAAAAAAAAAGAAACTGGATCAAAAGAACAGAAAAAATTGTTAGACGCGAAAGACACACGAAGGCGGAGGGGATCACGAGGCGATGCACGAGGAGAATCTCGAATATACCACGTGCTAGCCGTGACGCGAGAGGCGAGGTGAGAGACAGCCAGCCGCCATATTTGCGAGCGCGTTCACGTCGACGCACGCGTGACTCACCTGCAAATCGAATCTTGATGAGGTCCAGCGGGTGCAACATCAGGGTCGAGACGACGCCGCCTGAGATGCCCGCGACAAAGTACTCGTACTTGAAGTTGCTCAGGACGTTGAGTTGGCGCGGCGCGCCTGGCGTACCGCTACCCTTGATCGTCGTCATGTTCCACGAAACGTTGCTGTTGCTGTTGCTACTGCTGCTGCCGCTGCTGCTGCTACAGGCGCTGGCGCTGGCGCTGTCGTGCCGCTCGCCGTTCACCTTCGTTACCGATCCGTGTCCGGTGACAGTCCTATTCGCATCCTCCCCGATGTTAGCAACGCGCGTCTCCACTCGGCGGCATATCTCCTGATCCACGGCAGGCACTGTCGTCGAGCTGTCGTAGCGCCACTTGTTCCCGAAAATTATCCTCTCGTGTTATCTCCTCCTTCCGCTCGTTCTAATGTAGCAGAAACTACTGGCTGATCCCGATTACGCAATATCCGTGAAGCACGTTGCATCGCATACGCCGACTGTCGCCATACTGGTCGACCGGGCAGCTGTGAGCGACGTTTCTAGGTAGACGGACGGAGCAAGTCCCCGCGCCTGCGCAGTGGCGCTAGCGTTAGCAGACGATTCTCGCTGTCATGTGGGAGGCCTGATGATGATTCTTTGACTCTCCGCAATTTTCATTTCGCCCACGTTTTCCCCTTCCTAATTATTTACTTCTTTTGACTTAATTCTACATTTATTTGACATTGTCAGCACGGAAAGTGCCATGATAAAAGTACAAGAAATAAAATATGGTTTGAATTATTTCTAGGTTGTACACGTTATGTCTAGACGAATTCGCGCGCATATCATAACTATTGATTAAAAAGTGTTATGGAACTATTCTCTTGGTTAATTTAATTCGCCTGTATTTTGAAGGGATGTGAAAACTACCTCAAAAATATTTAAAATTGTATTGTTATATATTTTTATTATATTATATTGTATTATATTTTTTTATTTTAAAATTAATTATAACATATTTTTGTTGTTCTTTTATTTTAAAACTAATTATATAGTATATATAATTTTTATTTATATATGTAATTATATACATATAAATAAAAATAGAACAATAAATAATATCATAAACAATAATAATTATCAAAATCATGTAATTATTTATGATTAATATTTAATTGGATCTGAATAAAATTTCGAAAAATTTATATTATGAGCAAGTGACTTTATATTCTCGAAATATATATGAAATGTCATATTTTATTTCTTAGAAAAATTATTTGTTTAAACAATAAAGTTTCGATTCTTTTATATATTTTTATATGCCTAATATAATGTCATTTATTATTTTATGAAAAAATTAATTAACACTATTAATTCGCTTAAAACTCTTAAAAAATAATAGAATATGATTAAATGAATTACAATCGAATAAACTTTTGTTTTGAAAATGAATTACAATCGAGCGTTTTATATGTCATTTCTAAAAATTTTTAATGCTATCGATAAGCCCCGAAGATGAAAAATTTTTTCACATTTTCGACTTTTCTTATTTTTAGAATTCTCAATAGCATCCCACGAATTCTAAAAATAATTCTCTGTTCGAAACGGTAAAATTAATATTTCTAACGATATTGCGATTTTTCATTTATTGATTCGAAGACATGATTACATCTTCAATTGCGGATGATCAAAAAATCACGAAAGAATAAATGATGTATCATGAAATTTTTTATGCTATTTATTAGATTCTATGATTCATTTAGTTTACTGCACATTCCCATTCTTAATTATATTTAGATTATTCATCGGAATAATCACATTTAGTCACAAATGGATTCTTCTAAAAAATTTATATAAGGCATTAATATATTCGAAAAATTTTGCAAAATATTTCAAATTATTTTATATAACATATGCTTTCGAATAGTTTCCGCGCTCTAACATAATAAATATTTCTTATTTCCTTTATTATAATTTGGATAACAATATAATATTTTGATGTTTAATGCTCTACATAATACAATAAATTATAAAGTATAATATAATTGTAAAATATTATTATTAGCGGATTTTGCTTAACTTCAAGCTGTCTTCTTGTTCCTAATCATCATGCATTTCTATACATTCTCTTCTTCTAGTTCTTGAATTGTTATGGTTTATCACATTTTTTCATCTTAAAATCATAGGAATTTACATAGTATTCCTTCTTCTTTATAGTGGGCATTGAAATGCTTTCTTGTTTGTTCTCAGGCGCATTTCTAAAAGATGTTTAAATTACCTGAAACCTTTTTCTTTACTTCCAATTTCCTTTTTAAATTCTCGGTTATTCTCTCTGTTTCTGACCTGTATAATAGGCTGCTTTTTATCATGATCTCATATTTTTATATCTGTTCTTTCCGTTTTTTTCCAATCTCTTTGCTCCATTCAGACACTCCGCTTTCCTGGCTTGTATATTTCTAAATTTAATTTCTCCCTTATCTGTACCTTGTGTGTTGAATAGCACTCCTAAATATTTGTATTATAAATATTTGTATCGCCTACATGATTCTATCTCTTCTCTTGGTTAGATTCTATATCTGTTCTCTCCTCTCCTATACATAAATATTTTGTTTTATCTATGTTCATGCTCAGTCTCCAATAACTATATTCCTCAATTAATTTCCTTGTCATGTATTGTAGGTCTTCTTTATCCTTAGCATACACCTGGTCATCAACAAACTGTAATGTATATAAGTAAGTGTCCTCATCTGTTCTATTCCCATCCTTTTACACTTTCTTTTCCATTGAATAAGAGTACTATATATTCTATATTTTAAAGTGTTGATAATATACAACATCCTTGTTTAAGGCCTTTCCTAACGGAGAACGTCTTTCTGTCAGACTATTTCCTATCTTTACTGCCGTCTCAGACCCTTCGTATAAGTTCTGTATTGCTTTGATCACGGTATTTAAGTTCGTATTCTACAATGCTTCCTATAGCTTAGTAATGGGTACACTATCGTATGCCTGCTGAAGGTCTATAAACATGAGATGTATTGATAGCTATTTTCTTTTCGATAATTTGCTTTAGAAAATATTGTCCATGCAGGATCTGCCAGCTGGGAATCCACTTTGTTCCTTTTCTTAATTGTTTCGGTATTCGTCCTTTATGATATTCCTGAAATGGACGCTAAGAGAAAGAAGAAAGAGAGGAAGACCAAGAAGGACATGGGCGGAAGGGATAAGGAAAAAATCTATGAGTGAGAGAAACTTAGGAGAAGGGAATTGGATGAACAGAATGAGGTGGAAGTTAGGCATCAGACAACAGCGAAAGACGTTATAACCCGATTATATGTACATATATAATATAAATACATATTATAAGATACAAAATTTAATAAAATATAACTGAAATTTAGTACAAAATAATTTATCACATAGAATTACACGAAAATATCCGAAATATTCATATAATACAAAATTTATTAAAAATATTTAGAAATTTTTAGATCAAGACTAATTAATAACAATTAATTACACGATATTTATCATTAAAAATTGGTACACAATTAGACCTTAATAAATTTTATGTAACATAAATAAGGAGTTTATTATTAATACATATATTAATAATAAATTATTGAATAATATCTCCTAATTGTACAAGAAAATATGTGTATTACTGGCGCATTTTGTGCAAACCTTCAAAGAAAATATTCAAAATGCAAAAAGAGATAGACAAAGCTTCGATGTAAATTAACGATTAAATTATAGATTAAATCACGATTTAAAATTTGCAAGGAAACGCGATGAATAAATAAATCGACGATATTCAGAATATTGAATTGCTACACTAAAAAAAAACTTGATTGAGAAAGGCAAAATTTATTTTGTTCAACTAAATATATTTTCCGATACGTTCAAATAAATATAACTAAAATATTCCGAAATAATTTGTTGATGTAAACAAAGCTTATTCAAACCATCAAAACAGAGAGCTCAGTACAACGATGTACAGTTACTACAACAGAATATTTTTTTGGTAAATTTTCAACCAAATTTTTTCAGAGTGCCTATAATTTCTATCAAATATAATAATCGAAGCCCACAATATGCGATATAATTCCTATCATTTTAAACGAAGGTATTTTGACAGTTATTTGAGATCCGCGAATGGTTGCGAATATAGAATTCGCTGCCCGAGTTATTTTCCAATACGCGATTTTATACCAATATTGCGATCGAAAATAAAATACATATTGCGCGAATGATTAGTTAAACAGGATAAAATGAGCTTTAAAATAATGTTATAAAAACCGCATTATCGCTATATTTTATAAAAAATAACGGATCCAACGATTTATCAAAGCCTATCGGATGAATGATACGCCGATTAATATTCAATAAAGAAAAGAATGATCGTAGAGATCAGAGATCTCGAGTCCTCTTGGCACTTGCACTCTTTTGAATTCCTTATTCACTCACGAAAATACTCGAGATCATGTTTAGAAAAGAAATTTGACAATATACAAAGCGTTTCACATCACTACTTTACTGTTCAAGTGTCAACATACGAATGATAGCAGACCGTAACACGTAACGTAAACAGCGCGCTACCGTTTATATGACGCCAAAGTCAAACATATTATTGATAAAATTCATTGCCAAAATATTTTACGTATTCTATGGCATATACATATATGGATAATATTATATTACAGAAGTATTTTAAATTATAGATCAATTATTTAACTAATGTATCACGGATTCTTTCGTTTTACTAATAATTCGATTCTGCGATTCGATTATTTTACTGAATATTCTCAATCCGAATTATATTTAGATCATTGATAAACCGAACGATAAAATATTGGAGATATATTTGACTCTATTGTTAGGGAAATAATTATTGTTTATAAAGGTTGCAGAAAATAATAATTTATAATTATAATAATTATAATAATTTATGTTTATTTCTATCACTTTGTTTCCTAGTTGAAATTATAAATAAATATATCGCGAGAAATAGCAATAAAGAGTCTTATTTGTCGCAATACATTTTGTTTATCGAGAGTTTTAATTATATTATTATAGTAATTAATTATCAACTGTAATGATTATATGGAAAATTATTTCCCGCACTTACCGCAATCGCGTTTTAAGTAGGAATTTAACATATGAGGCGTCTTGCATCACTATCTTACTGTTTGAATGTCGCCGTGTGAATGACAACACGTTGAGCATCTAGGAGTTATCGTAGCATGTTATTGTTAAATATCCTATTTATGAATAACACATTATACATCGTAAAGGCCAAATTCGGTACAGTTTTTTAATAATTTTTAGTAATTTGCTCCTAAAGTATTTAACATTTTGTACATTATGTATAAATTAATACAAAATAATTCTGCACTTTATATTTCAAATTAATATTGATAAATAAGTTATCGTCGCAAATAAAATCTAATGTTTATACGAAGAACAAAATTTATTTTATTTTGATTAAAAAACTATATGTATAAGTAAATTTAATATCACTTTTTTGCCTTACCAATTTTTTTTATTTCCAAGTTATCAATTAAATTGATTAAAAAATCAATTGATTCCATTCCAGCTATTATATTGAGATCTGAAAAATCTAACTGTAAAATACCCCCATTGGATGAGTTCGCGTATAAATATACAATCCGCTGTTATTGCTTGTGATTTGACGTCTTTGTGATTTGATTCAATCTATTTGATATCTATTTGATTTAATCCATTTGATATCTATTTGATTCAATCTATTTGATATCTATTTGATTCAATTTATTTGATATAATTGAACAAGATGAATAAGAATAACTTAATGATTTGATTAGATCAACATTCTTCTATCAAGTAGTGCTGATTAATATCCAATAGAGAGAAAAATGATTCTAAAATGCAGAGCAGTCTCAGCGTGCTTTGCTTTTTCATTTTTTGTAAACATGATATTTTATATAGTTACAAATGCTAATTATAAATCTTCAAGATCTTGGAATAAATTTTCCAAAATTAATTAATGCTGAATCATTTATCCCACAGATAAACTAAACTGGAATCAGTAATCAAGATTAACAAAAAAACGAACAATGATCTGAATTTGCGTTGACTTATCTATCCTGTTCGCGATAGGTGACGGTTCTCATAATCACTAATGACCGATATGGAAGTAGATGTGCAAAACGCTTGATAAAGATTTCCTTATCCGTTGTCACGATTGAGTATTTCAGTATCGGTCTCCCTTGGCCGCGAATAATCAGTTTTCGCTCACGAGGAAATACGACCAACAGCAGTGTGCTCCATAAAGAAATAAAAAAACTTTTAGGTAAGTGAAAGATAAGCTAATGAACAGTAGTGATGAGTAATTCCTCGATTTTAATCACGCACGCACATAATCGATTATAAAACATTGCAAGATATTATTATATTAATTGATAACGACTATACTTATTCTAATGTTTAAGTTTTGTTGCACACATATTAATTAATTAATTAATTAATTTAGTTTTAAAATTGCTAGTTTCTTTTTGTTTTGAGATTACAATGTTAGTTATAAAATTGTTGATTAATTAATTAATGTTTTAAAATTGCTTGTTTCTTCTTGTTTTGAGATTATAATGCCAGATATAAATTATAAAAACTGAAAAATTTAAAAGATAATATTGCGATTTATTTATTATTATTATTTTATTGCTGTTAATTAAAATATTAGGATTTTTAGTTTCAATGATTATTAACATCAGTTACTTCTTTTAAACTGCATATATACATACATTCTATGAAATTATTTGCAAATGCGTGCAATAAAAATGTATCTTTTTCATACATGAATATTCAAATAAGTGTGTGCACGAATTGGCTATAACATTTGCTGCATGATACTATTTCTTAGATGGTAGTGGACAACTGCTACAACAAGATCAAGAAAATTAAATTGAAGTGTATCCGTCCTAACGCATACACGTATTGTGTGATATTTAAAAATATATTTAGCAATAGTGAAAATAATATAGGATTAAGTGCGTACGATAAAGTGCATATTTCTTATCAGACAAGTGTAAAATTGAAACAGGTGAAAGAAGTCTTTCCTTGCTGCTGAAATCACGCTCATCACTTTGAACATCACGGACACAACGATATGGTAAGACGTTATATAAAATATAAATTTCCAGCCTAGAAAATTATTTAATTTTTTGAACAGATATTTAATTTCGTACTATCTTATCTTTGGAGCATTTAGCTGTTATCATATCTCTTCAACAATGTCAGATTTCAACTAATATCTCTAGCCTTTTTATTTGAAAAATTTATCTCTTATTTGACTATGTAAATTAATAAAATCCACAGGAAAGCAGATGAGATTTATTAAACAATGATGTCGTGGCATTACGTAACGTGTAGAAATTTTCGATTTAAGACATAATGAACAAACAATAATAATTCCGGTGATAATCGAAATTTATTTTTCGAGTGAATAAGAAAGCAAAGGTTGGAGATACTGTGCAAGTTTGTGTCATCCAATGATAAAGACGAATTATCAGTATATTTATCATAACCACTCCTTCCGTCTACGAATCGGACTTTTCAAGATTCGCAGAAAATACGAAAAGATTTCCCGTCGAATCTAGTGTTTTAAAACAAAAACAATAAAATTGTTATCTAACTGAAAAGAAACTATTGAAGCCATGTTTAATGATCATGGCCTTTGTTCGAGGTGTAAATTTTTTTTCTATCATGGACAGTAACATTAGCGCCTTCTAACATCATCATTTAGTCTCGTGTCAAACGTTCTTACAACTCATGCTTGTATCTTTCGCGACAGAAACGTAGAATGTGATGTGGAATTGTTTGAGTAAAAGAATTCTTTCATGCGCAACACAAGAAAGTGCCGAATATTTATGTTTGTTGGTGAGTCAATGAAATAAAAAATCCTATAATCAAAATTAATTTCACTTGATTTTCATTATTATTAAGTAAATAGATAATAACAATCGATTGTAATAGATTATTAATTAAAAAAATAGATATTTATATTCACCTCTGATTTCTCAGTATTTTACACTTGATATACACTCAATTATTTCTTATCTATTCTTATATAATCCCACGATACATATTTTTATTTTTTTCAAATGAAAAAATAACGTTTTTATCACATTTTATGCAATTAATCGAGACTCATTGCCATTGCCATCATACTGTCGTACTCGCTTTTATGAATAATTTTACTGCCGGTGGCCGGCGCGGCCGAAGCAAGACGACCTCCATACTTTACATCCTCCAATGGGATGCCCAAGGTCAAGGCTATTCTATCTCTCACGTAATAATAAGCACCTTGATTTTTGTGCTCCTCTTGCAGCCACATGATCTGTACATGCATATAATTACTTTTAATTTAATGCACAACAGTTAGACTTTTTCTTATCATGGGATACAAATAGATATTTAAATCACTCCAAAAATTGCATGTTGTTATCTAAAGTTTCTCACTTTGGCTCCCGGAAATCTCGCTATTTCCGTCGCGAGAAGATGATATGGAAAGGGACAAAGCTGTTCGATTCTAATAATAGCTATTTTATCCTCCAGTTGCCTCTCTTGTCGTTCGATGATCAAATCATAATATACCTTCCCGGTACAGAGCAATACTTTCTTTACGTTTCCGAATTTCACGAAAGGATCCGGTAGAACATGCCTGAAAGTTGTACCTGGGCCCACCTCCTCGAAATTCGATATTGCCATTGGGTGACGTAACAATGATTTAGGAGTCATAAGAATCTAAATAGCACGGGAGACATAATTTTGCATAAAATTTTAAATTTGATAAAGTAAAATGCTTCATAATATTATAACAAATAAACATAGAAGTTGGAAATGCAAAAATTCTCACACGCATCACTTTACAAGCAAATTCCGAAAAGTATTCCAAAGACTAAATTTTGATTTAGCATCTTTTCACGACGAAATAAATTTGATATAAAATAATTGAATTCTCAAGAATTTTACGTGATAATAATTAAAGGACTAACATTATATGAAAAATGATATAACTACGATATCGCGTTTAAAACGATTTTTTGCTATGCATCTCGCGAATCGCGCAGAATAATTACATGTGCTCCTGGATGTACAGAATGTTTCAGCATCAATATTACAATTTTTCCGAAAGTATTGGGAACAAAAAATCTTTCGAACAAAAATTAAAGTCGAAGAAAATATATTTAACAACTATTATTACGACTTTTATTCTTCCCTTAAGAATTTATAAAAATTGATTGATTTATTGGATTGCATTTACAAAACAAATTTTTCAGATCAAGCATTATAAAAAATAAAAAGACGACTTGAAATTATGTTGAAAATTATATTAATACAAAATTTAATTAAATGTTTAATGAATATTTTTCAAAATTGTGCAACTCTCGCTTAAACGTATTTTTTCTAAAAAAAATAACGAGTTATAATATATTGTCGTATGAAATATTCTTATTACAAAAACACTCAGTATATTATACAAAGGAAGAGTTAACAAACCAACGGTTTTCGAAACGGCATCAGTATCTGCCGACGCAGAAGGTGAAAGAGATTGGCGGGTGTCGAGGGATTGCAGACGATCCAATTTATCTCAAAAAGCTGCCTAGTCATGATCTGCTCGACAGTTTCACCGGCGGAGGCACCGGGTTCTGTTCTAGGCACATGAGTACATTCGTCGTCGCACAGCTGAAGGAATCTTTCCAATCTGGCAGACGAATGTTCCGGCCCTTGGGCCTCCATGCCATGCGGTAACAACAACACTAATCCCACCTGTCTGCCCCATTTGGCTTGTCCAGAACATAACAAGCAATCTAGTATGACCTAAAGATCAATTTAATCGAATGGCTAAGATTGAGGATATTCTGAATAAAATATATCGCGATTTTCAATAATTAGACGAGATCGAAAATAAATTTTCAATTATGCAAAGAATTTGAATTTTAAATATAATATAATATAATTTAAATATAATTTAAAGCTAACTAAAATATACTTGAGATCACAGATTAATTATATAAAATTTTTAATAAAAAGAAATGTATATATAATAATATACAATAATATATACAATAATATGTAATGACGATAATGATGATTAAATGACAAGTATTGGCAAAACAAGAAAAATATGATTAAAATATATGATAACAAAATATGATTAATATATGATATACTTGAGATTACAGATTAATTATATAAAATTGTCATTACAAAGAAAAAGAGATAATAATAATAACGAATAATGTTACTTGACAAGTATTGGCAAAATCGCCGAATTGTGCTTCCCAGATTGTAAGAGTGTTGTGATTGTATGCCGAATATCCCAACTCGAAACCTTTTCATTAATTCATAAAATATTAATCATAATATATTATAAATTATATGTTATAATTAAACTCCAAAAGATGAATTAATCTTAAATTTTAATATCTCCATATTTCAATATTTATTTTATTAATGAATATCGCAGCTGTAATATTTTACGTTTGTTTTGAGCTTATGGTCAGCTTTTCTGAATAGTAAAATTTAACAGTTTAAAATATCATGTTGCAGTTTATTCTAAGATCGCTGATCTAATGTACAAGAAGTTAAACAAACATGTGTTATCGATAACACGTGAATAAGAGACAGACGGATCGCAAAAATAGATATTGTTATCGTACGTGATGTAATAATTAATGCTAATAAATTTTTCCTCGAATCTCACTCACCGCACACTCCGTATTCCGATAACGACGAATTAGTGACGGTATATAAAGCTTGCCTGGGAAAAACATCGTGCAGAATATTTTTGTAAACCTTATCTCTGCTCTGATCGTGAATGATATGTATACGTTGAGCGAAGGTGCCTCGTTCGACATCTTGCCCGGATAGTCTAACGTGATGACCTTCTTTTAATAAACTAAGAAAAGCCAAACATTCCCCCATTGCCCAGTCAAATTGTCGAGATGCCATGAATTTTGCTCGCCTGTCCATCGCTCTCAGTACCTAAACTTTTACGTATTCGTTATTTAGATCAAGTAGAATATCAATCAAAGAGTAAATTCTGGATTAAAATTCTGCAAAATTCTATGAATCCAAAAATGTTTTTTTTTCTTTCCAAAAATTAATAATGAAGGGTTTCTAGGATAATTTAAATCAGTATGAATATAAGAACGTAGTTCGATCTTCAAGTCTATGACATTTTATAACTAACTTGAACATGAGCTTCGATATCTTTTGGTGGAGTAGATATAGCATTGCATATTGTCTTGATGGTCGTCAAATCGATACCGGTAGGCGGTACCATTTGTTTCGGACTCTGATTCGAGAAGAATTCTGTCCATGGTACATCGTGCCAATCATTCATCTGCATCGAGCTGATGGTCTGCGCTTTTCTGAACTCTTCCTCGCAATGGCTTATGTACTTCTCTGTTTCCTATCCATGAAGGAAAGTTATGTGTATAACGTAAACGAAGATTAGATAAGCTACTTATTATGAGATTTTTCCGAACTTCTTTTATAAAAGCCTCCGTTATCACACCTTCCTTAAGAAGCTTATTGCTGTATATAGAAAGAACGCTGGGGTGAGCTTTTATGCGTTTATACATGAGTGGTTGAGTTATCATCGGTTCGTCCATTTCATTGTGACCTTGTCTTCGATAACCAACGATATCCAATACTACATCATTATGAAAAGTGGCCCTGATACAAAATAAAATTTTTTGAATAATAATAAAAACTTTTTTCTTCGGAATAAATATTTCATTGTAAACAATTTTGCCGTAGAGCAACTGCTAACAATAGATTATTGTCAAATTTAGATAATTTTGCCTCAGACAATATGTTCAAAGAAATTTGTTATTTAGTTTTGTAGTATTTCAATTTTTAATACAAAATGTGTATGCAATTACTTGAATTTTAAATAAATACCTATAGTAATAAATTAATCATAATAAGTTTATGTAAATCAAAAATGAAATTGATTCTATAAAGATTTCATTCTTTTTCATTTATTAAAGCTCCATTTATCAAAACTTTTCGAATTTTAAAAATATTTTTTCCAAATATGTATTTATGTGTGTATCTTTAATTATAAAATTATATTTGTATTATAATATCTGTATTTATAAATATATCTTTAATTATAAAATTATTAAATTTCTTCCCGATAACATTAATGTTAAGAAAAGATAAACTATTCTAAGTTATATAATAAGTAATTTTTCATTGACAGATATGATAAAAAGATTATAGAAATAAAATAATATTATCTATATCGCAATTTACCGATATTCGCCGGCTATTTTGCTGCAATAAGTTACTAAATCGGGATCATCAGCATGTATGTGAAAAATAGGAGCATTAACAACGTGAGCTACATCCGTACAATGCACACTCGATCGTGAATATCTTGGATCGGTTGTAAAGCCAATCTAAAATCAAATTACATTCTTGAATATTTTAAAATAAATTATCTAAAAATTCGTTCAAAATTCTTTAAAGTTAATTTAATATTTTGCCAATTACTTAATAATTATTTAACTGTAATTTAACTTTAATTAAAAATTAAACGCAATCTAAATCATTTAACATTAATCCAAAATTAAATAGAGATAATATAAAAATTGATAAATACATATATCGATATTATTATAATTATATATTTAAAAAATCTTATCAAAATGTTATCAACATCAATTTTTATTTTAATTTAACTTAGCATTTATTTACCTCATTGAAATTATAGAAAAAAATAATTAAATTTGAATGAAACATAATTATATAATTAATTTGAATAAATTTGAATAAAATTTAAATATATAATTAAAATGAAATTAAATTTTTTTCTAATTAATATTTATAAACTTATTTTTACAAAAACCGTTATTATTGATTCCTACTTGATTGTTAATTACGATATGCATGACGCCACCCGTCGTATATTCTGGCAAATTAGTGAGGTGCATTGTTTCGTAAACGACACCTTGACCGGCAAAAGCGGCGTCACCATGAACCAGAATAGCTAAGGATCTTTTACCCTCTAAAAAAATCAATTTATTTGAGGAAAATTGTTATCGTCTGTTAAAAGATTATATATCCCTGTTGATACATACCTTTAGAGTCACCTTTTTCGACTTGCTCGGCGCGCACACGACCGACTACGACCGGATCGATCGCTTCCAAATGCGAGGAATTTGCCATTATAGCAAGAAGCACTTTTTTCTTAGTTCTATAAATCGACACGAATAAATAATAATATAATAAATGTCGCTAACTTTACTTGAAGACTTAAAAAATAAATGAAAGGAAGATTTAAAAATTGATGCTTGACATATCCATATTAATACTGTAAATCAATTTTACGTAATGTTTCACCTCTCTAACAATTTTTCCGAATATGTTCCAAGATGATACTTGACATCACCAGAACCGAGTCCCTCCAGTGCAATCGGATTAAATTGAGTGAACAGCTGACTCATCGGTTTCGAGCATACATTTACCAAAGTATTAAGACGACCGCGATGTGCCATTCCAATGACTACAGTTTCCACTCCTAGAAAACACATCATCTATGAAAACTCATAAGTAATAAACTTCAGTTTCATCTGCCTTGATGAGACTTAACAATTTGTTTCAATCACCATTTAACGCTGATGTTTCTATGCACTCTGCCATGGCCGATATAAACGATTCGCAACCTTCTAAGCCGAATCTCTTCTCCGTTCCGTATTTTTTTGCTAGAAAATTCTCAAAATTCACAGCTCTCATGATATTCATCCAGATCCATTTTCGGTGGTCTGCGGGCAATTCCCAGGCGCCTGGTATTTCAAACTTTTCCCTCAACCAATCTAACTGATAAAATGCATGTTCAATATATTTCATAGCTCTATGCAAAATATTCGTCCTACGAGCTAAGAATTCAAATCATCAATATCAGGTATATCGAGTATATCTTTAATCATCAATTTTTTTAATTGAATTACATAATAAAATAAAAATGTATAATGAGAAATTTCTCAATTAAATGATAATTTCCCATTCTCTAATACAATCTACACAATTCTTTTTGATTGAAGTTTTTTCTCCTCTTCTCAATTTTTGCACAATATTTCTGATTTGTATCTTTGTATTAATTACAGGCTAAAATTCAATTTGTCGAGAGATACTATATCTTATTCGTAAATATATAAGATATTATAAATAATAAAACGGGTTTGTAATCTAATCTGTTATCACTGTATCTATACTATCACGAAATATTGTGCGTTTAAATACAAAATGCACATTTTGTGTAGGAATATCTCCCGCAAGAATAAAATTTCAATTTGACCCAGACGCACCACATTAAGATCGTGAATATATGTGTATTCCAGGCCCAAATGACCACAATAGATTTTATTGAGTCTTATCAGTATCTCTCGCAATGGTAAACTTCTTTTGTCACCACCAATAACAGTTAGGGAAGCAAGAGGGAACTCCCTGTTCATGTCCGCTTCCGTCATTCCCTTGAGATGCTGTCGCACCACAATTGTCGGCGGCAAATTTGCAGTGCCCTGGAGCTTTGCCGACTCTGGATTCTGTATGCCCAATGGATCTGTGTCGGCTATAAGGTGGCCACGTGCCTAGAAAATAAAATAAATCTCAATATATGTACAAAAAAAGTTACAACTGTATAACGCATGTTTGCGAAATTTATTTTGAAAGATATACTTGATACGCGCGAATCGTGGCATTGATATCGAGTGCATCAATTATATATTGATTATCTCCCTGCATCTGATTATCTGATTTTCTTCGAACGGGCTTTTCTGGTGGTTCTATTATATAAGCGAAAAAACATATGTATAATTAGATTTTCTAATTATTTAATTAGATTATTTAATTAGATTATCTATTAGATAATTAGTATATCTAAGTAACCCACAAAATACATATATTTAGCTATATTGCATATATGTTGCATGCTATATATACTTGTATAAAATATAAATATAAATTAATAAATGTACTATACAAATTATAATTTTAAAAAATTTAAATATATTTTAATGATTTTATATTAAATTATATGTATGTTATACTGATATATATAATTAACAAATTAATAAATAGAAGTCAATATTGTTATATTATTTTATATTTTTAATTGTTTTACAATACAAATAAATGTGAAAGTTATTACACGTTAATTGAACAATACATAAGATTCAATTTTAATATTAATAATATTTTTTAAGTTTTTAGAAAAGTTAAAAGAAATCTTTAAAACAGTATTTATTATTCTACATTATATGTAAATTACGATAAAATCAAAATCAATATTACACTTATATGTTAATTTTAATTTACTCATTCTGACTATAATTGCTCAAAAACGATTTTATATCATATAAATCTCAAAGATAAAATCGAAATACACTCACTGTTCGATTGTCCTCTTTCCAAGTTCGATGTCATTAATTTAGGAGACGAATTGACACGAATTAAATTGGATTTAGAAGAATCCGAGTTTTCGGTGTGAATCAATTTGAAATATAAGTCCCATGAGGAGCTTACAGATTTCTGATCCTTGAGCCATGCTTTGTACATGTAATCCAAATACTGACTGTTGTTCATGTTAAGCACGTTCTCCTTCTTATCGCCATTTTCGCGTTTGCATATTAAGTTCTTATGAAATTGCTTAGTAATGAATTTAGGAAATTTATTATCGTATTTAAGATCTTTCCAATTTGAATGCAGATAACGTACGATTTGCCGGTATAAATACGTAACAGATTGTGTATTTTGATAAGGTTGTAGTTTCCCGTACATTGCCCCCCATTTGTCACTGCAGCACGAACAAGTGTCAGAGATGTGAGGAAGCAATTTCGAAATTTGGTTTCGTGAATAAGTCAAATAAAAAAATAATTTTTTTATATACAATATTACTTTACGTCATTGTGATTAATTTTGATCGTGATTAATTTTCGACTTTTGAAATCTGCATTCACGGTTATAATTAGAATTCACGATTAATTTTTGTTTTTCGAGAAATAGGAATTGAAATCAACTTGAAATCAAATTCACGTCTCTTGCTGTTTTGCAATCGTTAGAAATCAAAGCACAGTTTTGCATATAAATTTATTAAATTTATTAATTTGAGATTTCTCTTTTTTTTTTGTTCATATATAGGGTGCTACATCTTCAGTGTTTAGCGATAACAGAATCGTGAATATTAATCCTACAAATGATCCATTAGAAACACTTTTTACCAGCAATCACGTCAAATCGCATAAGGTATATTTCGCGTGTTTTCTTTTCTATATTTTACTTTAATAGATTTATTATTTAAAAATATATTGAAATTCTATATAAAAAGTATTTTAATTATTAATTCCGTGTTTCGCTAGTCTCTTAAAATGATTATCGTTATTTCTAAAACTTGTGCACACATCTAAAAATATTATAGCAATTTATTAACCATATTATCTCTGTAATTTACAGTACACAATATGGAACTTCATTCCAAAGAATTTCTTCGAGCAGTTCCGGCGAATAGCGAATTGTTACTTTCTTTTAACGACAATAATTGCGCTTGCGATAGACTCACCTATTTCGCCCGTAACCAGTGCTCTGCCTTTAGCATTCGTCATTATAGTGACTGCTTGTAAACAGGGATACGAAGATTACTTACGTTACAAGACGGATCAACGAGATAATCGGAGATTAATTAGTGTCATTCGTAATAAATGTACACAGGTTCGTTGCATATGCATTACTTATGTTAAATATAATATTGTAATTTAAACACTTTATTAATTTTAACATCAAAAATATAGAATATTTATTCTATAAAATTTTTTAAAATATTGAATATTTATTCTATAAATAGAATATTTATTTTGCAAAATATTGAATATTTATTTTATAAAATACTCTTTAAAATTTACATAGTAATTTAAACTCTTTATTAATTTAAACACAATAAAAAAATAATTAAAAAAATATTGAATAATTATTTCATAAAATTTTTTTTAAATATAATTTTATTTAGAATAGAGATTGCTATTTTCTACGATCTATAATTTGCGAATTAAAGTTATAAAATATGGAAAATATTTCTAATGCAACTGAAATATTAAATCTGCTCTTATAAATAATATATAATACTTATAGGATATATATTGCGAGCAAATAGTGGTAGGTGACCTTGTAAAAGTCTCTCGAGACGAGGATGTGCCATGTGATATCGTTCTTCTTTATAGCGAGACTCCAGGATGTTGTTATGTCACGACATCTAATCTTGATGGAGAAACAAATCTAAAGGTAATTTAAAGAATAGATATGGCACGTATTTTTCTCTGATAAAACTTATGATACAATCAAAAGTCTTTTTAATCTTTCAATTAACATATTTATGATTATTATAAAATTATAATTTTTTTTAGACGTTGCAGGTTCCGAAAATGGTCTCGAAGATGCCACTTGCGCGCATAGTGGCAATGAAAGCAACAATTACGTGTCAACATCCTTTGGCAAATCTTTATACTTTCCACGGCAAGCTTGAGATTAATAATGAGAGCGAGATGATGAGTGGACATCTCACGATAGATAATCTTTTGCTCCGTGGATCAAGGCTAAAAGACACCGAATATGTAGTTGGTTGTGCAGTTTATACTGGACAGGACACAAAACTATCATTAAATTCAAAGATAGTTAGTAATAAATTCTCAACCGCCGAGAAGTAATTATTTAAGCTTTATTTTTATATAAACATAAATAATTGATATTATTATTTGCTTTCGCATGCATTTTTGCTATAACAATCGCCATATAACATTTAAAAAAAAACTTAAATTATATTTAAAAAATTAATTTTATTTAGAATTACTACTTATTACTACTTAGATTTACACTTAATTACACTTATTAAATATTATTCACAGATCTGTCAATAAATATCTTATTGTATATGTCGTGATACTGTTGATCGAAGTATTAGCATCCACTATATTAAAGATATACATTGAATCCTATGAGAAATGGGATAATTATCTGGGTCCATCGCCTAAAACCAATTTTTCCACACTGATTGCGGATATGCTGAGCTTTCTTATCTTATTCAATTACATCGTACCGATATCATTATATGTCACTGTCGGTGAGAAATTTGCACAATTATTTTCTTTCTTAATATAAAATTATTTAAATTTTTCCTTATCGCTTTCTCTTTGAAATATTCTAAATATGCAAAAACATATTTATAAACTGCAAAATTGGAATTAAAAATCCACGACAATTATTATTATAATATAAAGATTTGCATGTATTTTTTCAGAATTACAAAAGTTCTTTGGTTCGTTTTTTTTCGGCTGGGACTTGGACATGTACGATGCGGCCAGCGATCAGCCAGCACTCGCTAATACGTCAGATTTGAATGAAGAGCTCGGCCAAGTTGAATATTTGTTTACCGACAAGACCGGCACGCTCACTGAAAATCTGATGATATTCAAACGTTGTTCGATCGATGGCAATATTTATATGGAAAAAGATTGCGACGGGAATCTTTATCTATTGCCACCAAGCGGAAATGAAGAAGAAGCGGTCAAATTAACGTCATGGAAGGTAAATCCATGTAAACACAAAAAGGGAAATAATATTTGTTATTGTTATTTATAGGAAAATATATAATATAATAATTTCAATATTATTAGAATATTATTTTGATATAATACATGATTATAGGAGAATATCTGGCATTTTATGGTAAGTATATCGCTGTGTCATATGGTGCAAATCGCGCCGCCCAGTCAACGCCCCGAAATCGTAGCCAAGCGCACGTCATTTCGCGAAAGCTTCAGATTAAAGAAAATCACGAGGGTCAACAGTTCATTGATGATGCATCCAGATTTACCGCAGTATCAGGTAAAGATAGCTTGCGTACGCAAATATATAATCAAATTTGCGATATCGTACTTTATTATTTATCCAGTGCTAATGTTTATCTAAAATGAAGCGTAAATACGGATGTATGATTAACTCCGTATAAAGATATATACACATGTAACATATGGCAGGCAGCATCAGCAGACGAGAAAGCGTTAGTGGAGGCAAGTGCCAGATGCGGTGTGATTTTTCAGAAGGATACTAACGAGGAAATATATCTACAGATCAACAAAAACGTAATGGTTTTCCAGAGACTAGATATACTAGAATTCACTTCTGGTACGTGCAAAATTAAAATAAATAAATATTGAACACAATAATTAATAACAATTAAATATCATATATATAATGAAATAATAATTTTAAAATAATTGTCACACAAATAATTATCACGGAGATTAAATTTATGAATTACGCTAATTGTAATCATTTATCATAGATCAGAATTAATTTGTATTATTATATTTTAAGACTAAAGAGATAAATATTGTTAACATTATATATCTTGGACAGAACGAAAGAGAATGTCGATAATAGTGAAAGATTCGGCAAATGATATCTGGTTGTATTGTAAGGGTGCGGATTCGGCTGTTTTTCCATTAGTCGTAGAAGGAAAGATTCAAGAAGCTTCCCTTCATGTTGCCGATTTCTCCATGGTATGTTGTCTGTGATTGCAAATTGATAATTATATTAATTGTTATATGAATGATATATGAAGTCAATTTAATTTAAAAAACAGAAAAAATTAACTCATCTAGTTGCAAATACATATATCTATAATGTTTTTATTTTTCCAGATTGAACAAATTTTAAATTTTACGTATATTATAGAATTCTCATCTCTCTTTCTCTTTATCAAAGTCTTTTAATTTTTTTCAGAGAGGTTTACGAACGTTGGTTATAGCATATAAAAAGATGAATCAATCCGAATATGATAGGCTATCGCAAAATATCGAGCAGGCCAGACAAATAATCGGCACGGAGAGAGCAATGTATATGACACGTGCATACGATCTTATGGAGAGCGAACTTATTTTACTCGGAGTAACCGCAGTGGAAGATCGTCTACAAGAAAATGTGCAAGAAACTTTGGAATGCTTACGAATCGCTGGAATTAAAGTAGTTTATATTATACCGTTTTTATAAATAAATTATTAATCCATTACTATTTAATGTTCAAGTCTCATATCAGTTTTGTCAGTCATCGAAATGAAAATTATAACATTCTCTCTGAGTTTTATATCCTCAAAAGTATAATAAGTAAAAGTATATTTATATCTATTTCATTTATCTTGTTTATAATTTTTATTTAAAAAATATACCAAATACATGTGTGTTTCTTAAATTTTTAAAAAATTCAGAAGATTATTTCGGAAGATAAAATGACTGCAAATCTTTATTGTTTAGATATGGGTACTCACCGGAGATAAAGCAGAAACTGCAGAAAACATAGCTTTTCTCTGCGGCCATTTTAAAAAAGGTACTGAAGTTTTAAGACTGATGGAACAGACTTCAGGAAAATCCTGTTTCCCGATTCTTACTACTTTCGAGTGAGTGTGTATCTTATACATTCAAAATTTCGTATCCTCTATAACTCTATATCAATTGTGCTACTTACTTAACTATTCATATTAATTTTTACGTAGTAATTGCTCATATACTATGCAAATTTTACTAAAAAAATCTATTCAATTAATATATAATAAACATATTAATAAAATCTATTCAATTAATATATAATAAACAATATATACATAATAAATAATAAAACAAATAATTTTTTATAAAATTGAAATTAGTTAAAATGTTACTAATTAAAGTGACAAAATTTCATCAAAAAGCAGTATGAATTATTGATTTTCAATGAAAATACTCACATTTTAATAGTAAAATTTTATTAAAAAATCAGTTATTAATTCTTCTTATTCTTAGTCACATTATTATTTTCAGTTCATACTTATAGCTTTTATATATTCCATTCCAATAATATATTCCATTTAAAAAAGATTTTAGAATATATTAATTTTGCATACAATTGTTCTTATTTTGCAGTCGCAAAATAAAATTGGAACCGTACAAGCAATACGGTTTGATAATAGATGGTACAAGCATAACGGTGATTCTACGAAGTTTTCCTGGATTGTTGAAATCCGTCGGAATGGCTTGTGAAGCAGTTATCTGTTGCAGATTAACGCCATTGCAAAAGAGTGAAGTACGATTATTCGATATAAATATTCGATACATTAATAAATATATTAAAAGTATCAAATGTAACTGATACACAGATTGTGCATCTGATTAAAACCGCACGGAGTCGGCCGCATACCGCGGCCATCGGTGACGGCGGTAATGATGTCTCGATGATACAGGAAGCTCATGTGGGAATTGGAATATTAGGAAAGGAAGGTCGCCAGGCATCAATATCCGCCGATTTCGCCGTTACAAAATTCATGTATCTGAAAAAAGCATTATTGGTGCACGGCCATTGGTATTATTTGCGTATCAGCATCCTGATACAATATTTCTTCTATAAAAACGTAGTATTCATAACGCCGCAGATGTTATTCAGTATTCACAATGGTTTCTCCACACAGGTGAGAGAATAATAATAGTATGTTTTCTGTCAAGAAAATTCTCAATGTCTTGTTCTTATGTTGAATACATTATCATAATTATCATAATTATCATAATTATATATAATTATAATATAATTGTATTATTATTTTCTATTAATAATATATATTAATATTATTGTACTATTATTTAATACTATTATTTTCATTAGCTATTATTATTATACTATTATTTTTTATTTTTAGCTATAATTATTATACTATTATTTTCTTTCTTCATATTTATTTTTATTTGGTACTTAATAACCTTCCAAAACATGACGACTTTCTTTACGATTGATAGAGATTAAGAAGTAAAATTATTACATGTTTAATTCTTATAAATGTTATAATTTTTTATAAATTTTGATTATCTAATAATTTAAAAATTAATACATCATGTAATAGGCACAAATATATATATATATATATATATATATATATATATATATATATCTCAGTTAACAATATATATTATCCTATATATTTTTACAGGCACTTTATGACGGTGTATTTCTAATGTGTTTTAACTTGCTATTCACATCACTACCAATATTTTTGTACGGATTATTAGAACAGAATCACAATGCGGAAAAGCTTATGCTATATCCGTACTTGTATAAACTTAATAAAAGAAATTACTTAATGTCGAGAAAACAGTTTATGATATGGTTACTCTTAGGTCCGTATATATGGAGAGTTTTATAATTCTCTTTTCTCAATTGATTTAAAAGTTATTTTCTAATATAAATAAAAATAATAAAAATTTAACATATAAAAATTATTATGCTATGGCATCTTATTTTTCTACAAAATTAGCTCCAAGACATCGATAGATTGATTTCTTATTATTATTTTTTTTATTTCTTATCGATTTCTTATTCACTTTTTATTATCATTATTTTTTAGCACTATGGCACACAGGAGTAACATATTTTACAGTATACTCTATCTCATACATTAATCCAACGTTTTTGTACGATAATACACCAGTTGAACATTGGACTTATAGTACATGTATTTTTCATATAGTTACTTTGTTAGCAAATCTACAGGTTTGTATCAAAAGTGACATTGTATATATAGATTAAAAATGTTAATTTAAATAATTAAAAGTGTTAATTTTAATTCAAATTTAAAAACGAACGATTGAATGTTATATGCTTCAAGCATCGCATAAGAAAAATTTCATTATTTTAACAATATAAATATATATATTGAATTATTTTTCGAATAAGTGATCAATAATATAAATGTCATTAAATAATTACGTATCGTTGGTAACGATTATTAATTTCAGATTTTATTGCGCAGCTCGTATTGGACTTTTCCGTTAGTTTTAAGCATAATACTTTCCGAATTAGCATTCTTTGTTCTCGCATTTTGCTATTCGGTTATAAATGTGTAAGTATAAATCCATGTTATCAGGGAAATTTATGATATGATTTATTTATGATATGATTTATGATTTATTTTTAAATCATATCTATATCATATCATAAATATATCATTTAAATCATATCTTAATTAAATCATATCTATTAAAGAAAATAATTTCTACCTAGAAATTGGACTTATAATCGTATCATTCCAGGGAATATGATGGTGAAATGTTTGGAGTCTTTCAACAATTATTAATGTCACCCTCATACTGGTTAATTACCATAATCATAATCGTGATTTGCTTAATACCTGATTATTTATTACTCACATATGACACTTACAGACCAATTAAAGTTCTACGGAAAAATGAGGAACCTCCACAACCTCTTAATTGCAGCGATGATGACAGTGAACATTCTTCGCAAGTGGTAATAAAAATAAAAATATTTAATAAAATTAAATTCTCATTTCTTTTTTCAAGTTTTTGTTTTCATCAAGACACATAAGTTATACCTTTTTTTGTTATTTGATTTATATTTATCCAATTTATTAAATTCAATATTTTTCAGTTATTTTTAAAGATTGAATAAAATTAATTACTTGTGTATATATGTATATTCATTATTTCATTTATTTTATTTAATTACTTAATTAGTTAAGTAAATTAACAAATATTTGCAATATCATTAAAGAAAATAAATTATTACCAGGGACGCCGCATATTTCCATGGAGAGGTAGTCTCTCGTTTCAAAAAACGGAATAATATGCTGAAAAGACTGTTGCTTCAATCACTTCAGTATTATTTACAACAAAAAAGTTTAATGATACTTAAGCATCTTAATTTCCATTCATATCAGTGCGATATTTTAAATTGCTAATACGACTAATTTTACATTGTCAAATAAACTTACAAGACAAAATTTAGATTTAACTGACAAAATCAGTTAAAAAACTCTAACATAAGTTATAAAATTAATTATACCGCTTTAATAGAATCACCTTTCTAATTTCTATAATTTTTAAATAAGCCTAGAAATGTATATATGTATATATAGACGTTTTGTATATTTATTAATAATATAAAAAGGGAGACACGATATAATATATACATATAATATATTAATAACAAAGCAGGAAAAAACACCTTTGTATGCAACTATTAAATTAAGTATTATTAAATTAAACATAAATCTTTGCAAATTACTATGTTCATGTAAAGTTCATCGTAAAATACTAGTCGTTACAATTAAGTTTTGTATATAAAGATAGATATATAAACATATATGTACACATTACAAAAACCTATATATATATATATATATATATATATATATATATAAGCCCACAATACAATGAATAAATAAATATATGATCATTAGAAAATAAATAATCATTATTTACAGAAAATATACAACTACGAAAATTTACGATTATAATACGATTTTGTTATTTTATGAAACACGTTATTTGCACAAGTTTATAAAATGTATAATAATTCGATTACATTAACGAATTCTTGACGAACTCCATAAAAATATATAATTTCTCTATAGTTCGATAAACTACATATTTTGTTGTATACTATAAATGTTTCTAAATAATTTCACAAATATAAATATATATATTGTTCATATGAGATTTATAAAAAATATGTTTTATGATTAAAAAAAATATATGTGTGTGTGTGTATGCGACTACACTTAATATTTAATGGACATAAAAAGTAATGTACGAATTTTTTACTTAGAATGTCTGCCTTTATTTAAAGATATTATTGATGTAAATAAACATACATTAAATAAATATATTGCAGTTTTTACTTCCAATAACCTTTAAAATTTTCTTTGCTTAAATAATTAGTTAAAAAACTCTAACATAAGTTATAAAATTAATTATACCGCTTTAATAGAATCACCTTTCTAATTTCTATAATTTTTAAATAAGCCTAGAAATGTATATATGTATATATAAACGTTTTATATATGTATGTATAATTTATATATTTATGTTCCAATTATGTATATTTATATATTTATGTTATATATTTAAATTATGTATATTTTATATATTTATGTTCCAATAACCTTTAAAATTTTCTTTGCTTAAATAATCAATTAATAATATATATATATATATATATATATATATATATTATTAATTGATTTTATATTTGTTATTATTTTTTTCTTAAATAAATATTAATAAACTTATTGATTTATTGGTAATCTGTAACAATAATTGTATAAGGAAATGCGATTCAACAATTTCATCAAATAAAAATTATTTTCTCTTTTATGTAATTTCGTTCCAAGCATAATTGTTTTTTTTATATATTTAATTTTATATATTTAAATTCTAGGGTCTTCTATTTATATTTATAAATAAATATTATTTATATTTATAAATAAAATTTATATTTATAAATTTATATTTATATATATTATAATTATATATATTATAATTTATATTTATAAATTTATATTTATATATGTATTTATATTTATAAATAAAATTTTTAATTTTACACGAAGTAGATAAATTAATATTACTGATTAAAACAGTCAATATTATTAATTCTTTCAGTGAAATATTATTAATTTACAGTGCTATAATAATATAATTTATAACTGCTATATCAGTGACTCTGTTTACTGTTTCAGTGATAATATACTGATTTATTTTTAAAGAGTATAAATGCATTATTTTATTAATTCCATAAAAAAAACGTTTGACGAATAAAAGAAAAAACGTATTTTAAATGTGTTTTAAACATTTTTTATCAGAAAAGAAATAAAAAATATTTAAATATTTCTTATCATATTTCTTAACGTTCTTCAAGTGGACATTTTAACTAATTAAAAACGTTTTTAAGAGTCGGTTATGAAACGTTTGAAAAAAACATTTATGAAACGTTTTTGAAATGAATATGTGCTACCTGGGTAATGCATTTTATATATAAAAACATTATATAAGACAATTTTATATAAGACAATTATTTCGCTGAATAACATGTGAACTTTCAACGTGACGGATCGATTGAGTGAGTAGTACAATATATACAGCGTGTCCCACCTAGAAGTGGCTATCCCCTTTTATCTTTTAAACTAAAAGAGATAGACCATAATAAATATATATGAAATTAAATGGCTTGAACTGAACTTTGTTGTGAGTATAGTGATTGATTACAAAATTTACCTATATTGAAAAACGGAGAGATATACATAATTTTTTTTATAATAATGTAGATATTTTGATATAATAAAAGTTGTAGCCAACTTCTGACTGAGTATCATGATTAAATGACACACGTCAATCTCCAATGCACGAGTCAGAAGTTGGCTATATCGCAGAACCGAAAATGAAATGGTGCACGTCGCCCGCGATATTTCAAGCCGGAAAATGTCGTATAATATGTAAAATATTTACATTAAATCATACATCGTTATATTCGTTTCAAACAGCGCTACAACTTTTATTATATCAAAATATCTCCATTATTATAAAAAAATTATGCATATCTCTCCGTTTTTCAATACAGTTAAATTTTGTAATCAATCACTATACTCATAATAAAGTTCAGTTCAAGCCATTTAATTTCATATATATTTGTTGTGATCTATCTCTTTTAATTTAAAAGATAAAAGGGAGTAGCCACTTCTAGGTGGGACACGCTGTATATAATACACGTAAAGTTTTACGTTGACAGTGATATGTTACGTACTGACACAAGACACGAGCGCTTCGTAAGCGATCAGCTGATTTATTCATACCACATAAGACTATACGTCAGTTTATGGAAATATTTAAAGAGTCGCATCTCGAATTGTGGTTTATAAGTAAGTCATTAAAATTACAAGAAGGTTTATAAGTAAATCATTAAAATTACAAGAATTATTAAATTCTGTATGTTGTCAATAACACTTTAGCACTAAATTATAATCACAAATTATAAATCACATTTCTCTCTGTTACAGAAAATAACCATTTTAATTTGCATTATTCGCACCTTCGAAATTTTACACACGTAAATATGTATGCTTATATATTGTATTGTCCGAAAAATTCTCAGAAATCCCTTGAAATTTTCCGATCGACGTCTTCAAATGAAATAATCTTAAAAGAAAGGAGAGGAGAAGAGAGAGAGATTTTTAAATATTTTTTATAATAAATGTGATGCTCAAATTTCACGTGTGACGTCATTGGTCGATCCTCCGACCTCCGACATTCGTGGACATTCGACTTTCAACTTCGTTGTTTCTCGCCTTTCACGTGAGGCGCGTGCGACGATATTTCACGCGGGCGTGCATGTACGAAGTGCGAACGTTTATGATAGTTTATTATCGCTACATGGATCGAAATGAGGTGATTTTGACTTTCGATGGACATTCGATGCAAAGGAACATCTTGTCGTGAGGATCAAACGCATCGCGACGTGTGTCGATGTCGAACTTTTCTCCAACGCTTAGAAGCGTCTCGTTTATGAGTGCTTCTTGAAACGGATTGCTCAATCTATTTATTCCCATTTTTGTGCGTGATGTAGTGTTATAATTTGCGAACGAATTCCTACACCACTTGTCTAAGCATCTTTACAGGCAGTAATTCGTGTGACTGGTCTTGAATCATCTTCGATGTTTCGTCGTGCATTTGTTGAGATATATTTTCTAATTATTAACGTAATATAAATATGACGTATAAATTATTTCTATATGAATGCATTTGTCAACATGTTGCATATCAAATATTAATTAAGCATTGTGTATTCGCACTAATCGCTTTATCATAAGTGATAATGTAAAGGTAATACTTTTTCACTTTATATATTGTACATGTGTGTGCCTATTTACAGCAATTATTATGTATCTATGTGTTAATGCAAAATAACAAATATATCTGATATCAAAATTCATTTTCATATATTAATTATAATATTTTAATATTTTAATTAAAGACTCCTGGTCTTTTTTCATTCAATTTTAGAAATTATTGTTGTGTGATTGCTTGAATATCTGTACACGCAAATGATGTATGATGTATTGGCATAAATTCTTTCATGTTGCTAATATTATATTTATATTCAATCTTTATAGAAACTCTCTAAGATTATATTAGATATAAAATTTGAATTTTAATACAAAAATATTCAAGAAATTTTCTCATCAAAAACATTATATAGATAACATCTAAAAATATATTATCTATAAATATCTATTTTATATATAAATTTTATTTGAATTCTTCTTAACAAAATCCACTGTACAAATGTCCCAGGTAGCAGAGTGACGTCAAATGACATCTTAATAACATTTTAATGACGTCATTGTACAAGACGTCAATTTGCTATCTGGGATGATAATATTAACAGGAAGTCAAGAATTAACAGGAGTCATTTTTCAAATATCAAGATGTTTGATTATAGATAAGCACAATATTTGTACATAGCGAGATAATTTCTTATAATCATTATGTATCACTATCATTATTTGATCAGTTCTAAGTGTATAATGATTTTACAATTAAATTATATTTCATATAATCTATTATGTTATCAATATGCTCTCTGTTTATTTTTATATATGATAAAATTGTATATGTTGCAAAATTAATTATTTTTAAAGAAATTTAATCCTGAAAATTAGTGAATGATATGTATTTTAAAATATATTATTACAATATATATTTAATTAAAAAAGAATATGTATATATTGTAGACTGTTATATTGATATAATGTTAAAATTATTAAAAATAGATATCTTTATATATATATATATATATATATATATATATATACATATAATATTTTAAGATTGAATAGGATAAGTAACAATATTAAAATTGATATGGCAATTACCAGAGCAGAGAAAGATAGCACTCTTAGCTACTTTATTTGCATCTATGATAAATATAATATACGTAAAGTCCAAACAATACATCATACTATCATCCATATCATCGAGACAATTGATATATCTCATAGCAAATAACAAGCAATGCTTTTATGCAGCATTTAAAGCGTCAGTTTAAATTGAAACATTTTTCTATTTATCTGCTGTTGCATAATATTGCTTGAACAAGGCACATCAGCAAAATCAATAATTTACTAATGTATTTTGAATATTTTAAATTTTGACATTTATTTAAAAAATATGAATATTTTAAGAGTAAGTGCAATAAAATTCAATAGAGAGTTAATGTACATTCTGTATATATTCTGAAAGTGAAAGAGAAAGAAAAAATAAAATATGCTTATTTATTTCTAATTAAATGTTGAAAATTAATCTTAAACTCATGACATTTTATATTTTACAGAAATTCTTTATATTGAATTGAATAAATATGAGAGTCACAGCATGCCATTTTCGTCGTTGCATAATAGCAGCACTATCTATAGCGCTGTTATTTTGTGTTGTTCAAGTAATAAGAACAGAATTAGGATTTAATGAACCTGACCTTACAAATTTAGATAAATTGTAAGTAATCTTTTAATATTTTATCTATGTTCGTATTTTGATATCAAAATATATTTTTCATTTTGTGATTTTGTTTAATTACAGAATACACATATCTCAAATAATTAAAGAGTCAGAACAGTCTTATGCAAGGTATGTATACAATTTGTTTTTCAAGAAATGAAGTAATAATTAAATTTTTTATAAGAGTCATTTTTTGTCATAGTTCAATAATTAATAATAGTATATACTGTATGATATAATTAATAATAGTATACTGAATAATAGTATATAATTGCAGCACATGATAGCTTGTGTATTTTACTCACAGTTGTCATATTATTTGCGGGTATTTATTATTTATTTAATATATTTGTGCAGAGAAGGTGTTGCATGCAAATTACCTCAATTGAATATCTCTAGTCCTGAAATAATGAAATTCATATATGATGTACCGCCTTTATCGTGTGGACCTGAAGATTGGGTCACAGTGGAAGGTTCAAGACTTGTTATTACTAATAAAGCAAGGAGAAAATATGGACAAGTAACATGCATATTCAGCGGTGAGTAAAAAAAATTATATCTTTAATATAAATAAAATATTCTTTATATTACATGTGTGATTATAGTACTAATAGAGATATATTATTTCAATTAAAATAGAATTAGGCTCAGTATTCTAGATAATGTGTAATGTTTGTTATTTTCTTTTTAGAAATTATCAGAACAGATGATTACAATGTAAAATTATTAGATGGTATACAAGCTGGTGATTTCTACATTTTGAGAGACAGCGATTTTGCAGATGTTAAATGCAAATCAAATAATGGAGATGTGTTAGTTAATTTGTTTATGCTTATATTTTTACAAATGTTCTTACCATTATATCATTAATAATGAATATGTTTAATAATGAATATGTTTAGATGGCGTAGTGTACTCGCCGGAGTAAAATACGATCCATATGTCGAGCAACAACACAATTGGGATACTGTGCCGGACACAGGAGTGAAATTGAACGTTCTTATGTTCGGCTTCGATTCACTATCGCGAAATACCTTCATTCGTAAACTACCGAGAACTTATCATTTCATAAAACAACAATTGGATGCTCTCGTGTTAGAAGGATATAACATCGTAGGAGATGGTACACCACAAGCGCTTATTCCAATTTTAACTGGCAAGATCGAACTTGAATTACCAGAAACACGAAAACGAATGGGTCACAAAGCGAATTACGTCAACGTGTATCCCATGATATGGAATAAATATAAGGAACACGGATATATAACAGGTTTTATGGAAGATGTACCGCATATTGGAACATTCACATATCGCTTGAAAGGATTCGACGAACAACCGACTCATCATTATATGCGCACGTATTATTTAGCAGCTTCTCCGTATTTCAAAACATATAACAAATTCTGTATAGCTGGCATCCCACGTCATATGGTTTGTATATGCATAAAACGTTATGTGGATTTTTATTAAGAACATAAAGGATCCAAGAAGTTAATTGTTGATTTAATTATTTTTATATAGGTAATGATGAATTATATAAAAACGATATTTAATACATATAAAAAGCAACCAAAATTCGTATTTGGATTTCATGGCGAACTTTCTCATGACTCTTATAATGATATTGGAGTAGTGGATAACGATGTATATTCTTGGGTGAAAGACCTTCACAATTTCGGGCATTTAAACAATACTGTTTTGATTTTGATGAGCGACCATGGACACAGGTCTGAATATATGTATATATATTATATGTATATATAATATATAATAGCATTATGCGTTTTTTATACCTTTTACTGACTGCACAATTTATATACATGTATAGGTTATTTAATATGCATATGAACAATTGTGTTATTTTTATTTTGCAGATTTGCAGACATTCGTAATACTCTCCAAGGTAAGCAAGAGGAAAGATTACCGTTTTTCTCTTTCATTTTTCCATCATGGTTCAAGCAAGCCCATCCACAAGCATATGCAAACTTTGTATACAATACACAATACTTAACATCACCATTTGATGTACACAAGACATTGGAAAGCATACTTACTTTTAATATGCCAAAAAATGTGGATTATCGTCAAAGAGCTATCAGCTTATTTGATAAGGTAAGTTAATATAATAATATAATTATATTTACATACATATATATCTGTATATATTCTATGTATATAACTGTAAAATTAAAATTGAAAATTTAATGTTTCGTAATTTATTATTCGCGTTAATATACTTTAACTTTTGTGTTGTAATTAAATTCAAATAAAATACTTAAAGTTTCTAAGGTTTTTTTACAATTTCAATATATTGCTTGCATATTTATATATTATTAAAAGTAAAAACAAGAAGTGGAATAATATTAAATAATGTCTAATAAACTAATGTAATGAACTTTTCTTGTATTTTTCAATATTTCGATGAGAAAGTAATATATAATGCAGAAATTGCAAAAAGAACGACATTCCTTTATCAATAACTAGAACTTCTGCTATCTTTTCTAACTTCCGCAGCACACCTGTCCATTACAATAGGAAATTGAATGATTCATACACTCTTGTAGATAATACAATATAAAATTGAATGATTCATACACTCTTGTAGATAATCAAATGATATGATATTGATGAGAATTCTTATGAAATAAAACGAGCATGACGATAAGCGGATAGATAATTCTTATTTGCGCGAATTGTAGGAAAATGAATTTACCTAAAATCGTCACGTATCTGCAATAACGCGAGATCCACATCGTACTAAGGCTGATGGCAGAGAACTAGACGTGAGCGCTTACGTCTGTCGTAATCGTGGACGTAAAGTAAGACAGAGAAAAACGTATGTCGTACAAGGGCATTATCACAATGGCGACATACGTTTTTCTCTGCCTTACTTTACGTCCACGACTACGACAGACATCTAGTTCTCTGCCATCAGCCTAATGAATAATACGTCAAGAACCCCCCCCCCCCTCTACTTCCTATTACTTCCCATTATTTTCTACTTCCCACTATTTCCTACTTCCCACTATTTCCTACTTCCCACTATTTCCTACTTCTCACTATTTCCTACTTCTCATTTCTTACTACTCTTTCATTATTTCTTGAGATTATAAATAAATATAAAAGTTATAAATTATTTATTAATACTTCAGCTTCACAAAGATGTTTCTTTCACTTTTTACAATAAATAGAACAAATTTTTTGATCTTTTTAAACTGTTAATTGTCAAATAAATATATTACTACAATAATATATTAGAACTTATGGGTTTATAATTTTTATATGATCAAATATATGTAAAAATAAAAGATAAATTAAATTAATATAATGTTCTTTAGGTGCCGCTGAATAGAACGTGCGCAGATGCATTTATAGAACCACATTGGTGTGCATGTCTTGGATGGAAAGAAATCTCGATCGACGATACAAATGTTGTCGCTGCTGCCAGTTATTTTGTCCAATTCCTTAATGATTACACTGTAGATCATCACGACATATGCGCGATATTACATTTGGATAAGATCTTATGGGCCGCTAAACTCATACCTACCAAAGGTATAACATATAGGAGAATACATATTGTTATACATGTATCATAAAAAAAGCTAATATCTTTATAACATTTTACAGGTTTATTAGATTTTCGAAAATCTGGAGATCAAGACGGATTCATAGGTGATTTTAGTGCCAAAACCCAAGTTGCAATGGATATTTATCAATTAAAGGTGAGAACAGTGCCGGGTGATGCGCTATTTGAAATCAGCATTACTCATAATCTCGCGGAAAATACTTTCCATGTTAAAGTAAGTAAATGAATCAATTCATAACTAACAAAAAAATTTATTTTGCAATGAATACATATTATAATTTGCATTATTAGATCTCTGATGTTAGCAGAATTAATATGTATGGATCTCAAGCGAAATGTGTGGAAAACTCACTGTTTCATTTGCGCAAATACTGCTATTGTAAAGAATAAAGAACTAAATGTTAAATATTGTACATAGAAACACAACATCAAAACACAAATCAAAGCAAGTGACAATTTTAATTGTATAGTGCGCAAAATGTTATTTAATTTTAAGTAAAAATGCTGTGTGATTTAATATTTTTTATGCTATACAGAGTCTGTATCAGAGTTGTCTATATTAGACTGGTATTAAAGTATTTATTATACGTATTGACGAATTTAGCGAAATGAATTATCGAGAAAGTATTAAGTGGCACATATCATTCTTGAAAGAGTTTTCATATCTGTGAATGACTATAAAAGCAATATCATATATTTTGATCTTGAATGACTATAAAAGCAATATCAAGCAATATTTTGATCTTTAATGCAAAATATATCGTACATATCATACAAAATATATCGTATTATACACATTATAAGATTCTCGTAAATAAATACTTTTGCATAATTATCCAAAATTTATCATAATATTTATTTATAATAATTGATTATTAATACAGATTTGAGCAAAATACTGATAAGCATTTTGAAGTTATTAAATATACACAGCATTTTGTATGTGATATAAGAATACAAAAGAGATATATATGTAAAATACATCTATTAATTTTACATTTATCATAACTAATTTATAGAAAGTGTTTTTTTATAAATGTTAAAAGTTTTTATAAATGTAAAAAGAGATATATTTTATAAAATATTCTTTTTCTTTTGTGATTCAATGTATATTTAAATTCGATACATGGCTAAAAAAAATAGGTGATATTTTGATCTTTATAAATTGCAAAAAAAGATATATTTGTTCATGTATTTATTTATTTATTTATTTATATACACATACATACATAAATTTACATATCTTATATAAACTTCTATAAATATCATAATAAAGAGTGAATATATATAAGTATTATACGCACAACACAAAGAAATTTACACAGAAAATGTTTCAGTTATATTTATGTTTAATTTGAGTATAATTCCTCCTAATGATATTGGTGTGTAATATAAATTAAATACAGTTAATAGTAATTTATTTTTTTATAATTTTTGCAATGAATTGAATGGCTTATGTATGCATAATTTATGTATATAAATTATATACATATCGCAAATTACAACATATCGCATTCTAATCAAATAATTTTTTCTACATACATAACAACGCAATAAGAACATTGTGTTTATATATAAATTAGATTATATGCTAAAAAAATATAGATAAGCAATAAGAACATTGTGTTTATATATAAATTAGATTATATGCTAAAAAAATATAGATAAGGATAAGTATAATTAAGTTCATAGCTTATAATTGAATAAATTATCTTGTATGAAATATAATTAGTATTGATATTAATTGTCAAATTATTTTATATAAATTATAAGATTATACTATGTAAATATACTAATATTATTATATACTATCTGACTGATATAAATTAAGGAAATATACACAGATATGCAGAAATAATAAGTATGATATTTATAATATATATATATATATATATATATATATATATATATATATATATATAATCGGATTCAGTCCACAGGACAATACCCGCCATACTGATGCACAAAGGATGTAATTTCGCGAGAATTAGCATCTACCAGTAGAAATGCAATATTTTGTTTTTTATTGGAATCAGATGGGAAGTAATCTTGGCCTTTGCTATCTTTAGCAACTACTTCTAATACTAAAGTATTCACAAATAAGTCATTTGAGGTATTTTGTTTTTGCACCCTAGAAGAAACAGTTTTAAATTTTTCATCATTCTATATTTCATTGAAAAACTTTAATATAAATATTCTGATAACCTTATAAGATCCTTATAGATATTTTTAGTGACATCTAGATATGGCTCTAACGTATCCTCATATTGACATAATATTCCGCCAAGAACGAGCATTTGAAAAATTCGAAACATAAATTCATTTCTTTCCTCTTCTGAATACAAGTTATATTCTTCCGATTTCTCATCTAAAAGCATCTAAATAAGAATAATTTATACATAAAAAATATCATAAATGTCTCGGAGTTGTTAAAATAATGTAAACATTCCGATAAAATTCCTATAATTTTGATTTTAAATTTTCGTTAAATAACTCGAAATATAATACAATTTATTTCTAAATAAAAATATCTTACACCACGTAAATTATCAGACACCAAAAAATCCTCTACTTGCATATCATATCTTTTACAAATCGTTCCTGAATCATGCACTATCCCATTATCTGGATCCTTCAATTTATTAAAGAAAGACATACTCAAGACAGAACATGGCACTTGTTTTATCTCTACGCTCGACGCTCGTATACCTAACAGCAGAAATCTCTTTTCGCTTGATCAAATGGATTTATAAAAAAAGATATAATAAATAGTTAAATATTGCAAATATGTGATACCTTGCTTTATCCAGGCATTGCCTTGTTTAGATAATAATGCTTTTGCAACAGAATCGTCTTTAAAAAACGCCTACAAATTTATAAATTTCAATAAAGATTGTAAATTATGTTTATATATCACTGTATAATTATATTATTCTTTTTTCTTCTTATAGAATTAATAAAATTTAATAAAATTTAATTAATAAAATTTAATTTGTATTATTTATAGACAATAAAAAAATTAATTTTAATATACATTCTATCCTTTGTTTTAATACTGTATTGAAGGAAAATTTGATTTTGATTTTTTTTATTAAAATAATTCAACATCTCTCTCATATTATTATCATATTAAAGAAATTATTTTTGTTTATTGAAACAAAATATAAACTTACATCAGCCAGCTGATATTTATGATACTGTTGAAATGATTCGTTGAAAGAAAAATTTTGAATGACAAAATTTCCTTTTAAACCCCTATAAGATAAAACAATAATTATAAGAGATAATTTTTAATACATTTGAAAATAATTATTACTTTTATTGAGAGACTAATCTACTCATTAATCTACAAAATTAAATGTTTACGTATAAAATAAACCATATTATGAAATTAATAAATTAATATTAATACCATTTACAAAGATATTCTTGCGTTTTTCTATCGTTAATTCCGATATAAATTTTCTCATTCAATGGCACAAACGTAAATTTTGGATCAATCTCCATTTTTACATATCTGTCACTATGGAAATAACAAACGCTTTCTCATGTAATTTATTAAATATGAAATAAAATTTTAAAATAATATGAAATAATCTTTAATTATGAACATGATAAAATATATATTTTAAATTTAAATAGACATGAAAAAAAAACAGAGAACTCTTTCCATAATCATTTCTCTTTCTCTCTTTTTCTCTGCGTATCGTTGTTGAAAAAAATTTGTTTGCAATTTTCCAAAAATATTTAATAAAAGATTTAATTACGCTACTCTATTTGTATTGATTTTTAACATTGATAAATATATATTATAACGATATGTTCTCAGTAGATAATAGCAGAGAGAAGACTGAGAAAACGAATAGTATAGATAAGGTTCTCGAAAAGATCATGGCGCCTAGTCAACGTCAGCGGCAGCTCGTTTTATCGAAGAAAGAATTAAAAAAGATCAATGGAAGGAGATTTTCGAAGTATATAAAAAATATGTTCTCTCTCCCTTTCCTTTTTTTCCTTTCTTTAGACAGTTTCTTAAACATTTCTGGTGCGTGAAATATTTAAAAGGTTGACTCACATATCGAGTTAACCTTTTAATGTGACACATGGGAAATATTGGACAACAACAAATATGCATGTTTAAAAAGCAACTCACATTCATGATATTCACATAATTCTTGTGTTAATTTTTTATATTTAATTTTACATTATATTTGGTCTTCAATTTTTTAATTTCGATAATTCAAGATACATGAATTTATAAATTTTTAAATAGTGAAAGAAAAGTCTTATACATTCTGGATTTTAATTATTGTAGACAATTAATTATTGCAAATAACTCAGAAAAATAAATCATGTTCTCATCACATTATTTTTTTAAATAATTATAATTTTGCAGTCTCAGTTATAAAATAAAATCCTGCCTACAAATCACATGAATAATAATTATAAGAGAAAATATAAGAGAAATATAAAGCAGAAAAATTCAAATAAGTATATTTCAGGCCAGAAGAATCTTCCGATATGGGACTTGTTTATCCTGGTTACGATACAGCTTTCAAATTGCTACTATCGGCAAGATTTTGTTCTGCTATATGGAGTCACATAACGGACTGTGATGAAACGTACAATTACTGGGAACCGGTAAATTCATAAACTAATTTAATATTATGAATATTTAGACTAAAAAATAATAATTTTTCAAAGCTACACACATTTGTTGCATCTGGAATTGATTTCTATTTTAATCAAAATATCAGAGATGCAATTAATTCTTTAAAAAAACATTGTTAGAGAATATTGTTATGAATGGAGTATAAATTTGTACCATAAATTTTATTCTTTAATTTTTCACATCATATTTTTATGCAATACAGCATCTATATTATCTTCTGAATTGTCTTAGAGTCATTACTTGCTCTATGGAACAGGCCAGCAAACATGGGAATATAGTCCTGAATATGCCTTACGTTCATATATGTACTTATTAATTCATATGGTACCAGCAAAAGTTTATCATTACTTATTGGAACCAAATCCTGTACTAGTTTTCTACTTTATACGATGTTTTCTATCAATGGGTTGTGCATTATCTGAAGTATATTTTTACAAGTATGTTTTTCTTATAAAACTAAATCTCTATACATGATATAATATAATATCATAATTGATATAAATCTTAGTTTTGCTCTACAACTTGTAATCTCCTATATTTTACAGAAATGTCTGTCGCGAATTTGGAGTTCATATAGCAAGGCTTACATTAGTATTTCTTATTCTTAGTTCTGGGATGTATATTTCCAGTGCTGCATTTTTACCATCATCTTTTTCAATGTAAGTATTAGGTGCAAAACACACACACATATGCACATATATACATAATTTATAATTTACCTATATTATATTAATATTTCTTTAACGAAATATATCATAACAGGTATGTAAGTACTGTTGCTATAGCAGCTTGGTACGCTCGCCAGTATGAACTGGCTATTTTTGCTACTGCCATTTCTTCGTTACTTGGATGGCCATTTGCTGCATTGCTTGGGTAATTTATATATTAATATAAATGATATATGTAATGATAACATAATTGCATATCATGAGAGTGAAAATTTTCCTTTATCTTACTTTCTAGATTGCCTATTGCTATTGAGATGTTAATACACAGGCGAGAATGGGACAAATTTATAAAGTGGGTTATTATATCCGCTGTTGTAATTGGAATACCAATGGTATGGGTGGATTCCTTATATTTTGGCAAATTTGTCGCCGCACCATTAAACATTATATTATACAATGTCTTCACTAATCATGGACCCAATCTTTATGGCACTGAACCATTCAGTTATTATATCATCAATGGATTCCTGAATTTCAACTTCGTCTTTATCGGTGCATTATTTGCACCTTTGGGTTTAGTAAGAATTTTTATAATTTATTTTTTATATATAAAATACCTTGAAAGTTGCACTTTTTATAAACTACAAATTTTCTTCAACGAATTTTAATTAATATTTTCTTTTAATCTGAAAGATTTGATGACATGAAAACATTGTACAAAACTTTCTTATTATTAATATCTTAGCACTAAGTCAAATTTATTTACAGTTGACAATCGAATAAGCAGAACATTAATTGTTTGCATCTCTCAAATTTTATTTAAATTGTTTACCAATGAAAAAAGAAATGCGATAGTTGCAACATCTTATATAAGTGCGATATATTTTGGCAATATTTTAATTACTCAATTATAGTTTTTAGTATGGTTAATCATGCCGGCACGTCCAAGAGATCGTTTATGTCTTTCATATTGGTATTCATTAGCACCTTTATATCTATGGATTTTTGTGTTCTTCCTTCAGCCGCACAAAGTATGTATAAAAAATAATATTGATCTTATATTATTATGAAAAGAATAGATACACATATTTAAACAATACATTTCTACATTCTGCATTGTTAAAAATTTTTTGTTTGCAATATTTAAATTGTTCAAATGTGTGTGCTCCTATTCTATTATTTAATATTACAAATTGATTTATAAAATATAAAACAAAGAAATTGACAAGATGAATGTGTCAACAGGAGGAACGGTTCTTGTTTCCAGTATATCCTATGATTTGTTTGGCAGGCGCTATAGCAGTGGATGTTGTACAAAAGTTATACTTTTATCTTAGAACGAAATTCAATTCGTCGCATATCAGTTGCCATTATTTACAGTTTACTACACACATTACCGTTTTGGCGATATTAATATGTGGCCTCTTGGGATTTTCAAGATCATTGGCAATATATAAAGGTTCTATATCATATATATTTTATAATATTATGTATTATAAAAACTTTTTATTTAAATAACAAATAACTTATATAGTTTATGCTACTTAGCATATGGAATTTATTTATTTATTTATTATATTAGGATATTATGCTCCTATGGAAATTATGTTTGAAGCTAATAAGCTTGGAACAGAAGGCGAGGTACCCAATGATGTTAACATAAATTTTTGTATTGGAAAAGAGTGGCATCGTTTTCCTAGCAGTTTTTTCTTTCCTTCTAATAAGTAAGTGCAAAACATTAGCTCTGAATTAATTAAAGAATATATTCTTTTCTAATTCTTGTACATATTATATAAAACACTGATATATTTTGCATTAATTTAATACAACTATATTATTCTTATATACAATGTTGAATTGTTTTTAGTTGGAAATTACAATATTTGAAATCTGAATTTAAAGGACAATTACCACAACCTTTTTTAGATCATGAAAATGCAACAAGTGTAATTCAAGCACACTTTAATGATATGAATAAAGAGGAATCATCACGTTATGTAAGTATTTATTTATAACAAAATATTACAAGTTATTAAATTTTATAGTTACATCAATTGCTTTCATTAATACTTCTCTTTCTCTTTTAGTTTAATTTAGATAAGTGCCATTTTCTATTAGATCTGGATATAGGAACTGAAACAACTTTAGAACCGAATTATTCTCGGCTAAGTGATCATTTTACTATTGTAAAATCTTCTAAATTCCTAGATGTATCAAAGTAAGTTTAAGAATTTTATTCATATATTCAATATCTGATAACTGTAATTTAGAAGTATTTTTTCATATCTAATATAATCTATTATCATTTATATTACAGGTCACATTCCCTCTTCAGAGCATTCTACATTCCATTTGTATCACATAAATTTTGTACATATGGCTCATATAACTTATTACAAAGTAATAAGTTTAAATCTTTGCTGTCCTTGAAGCAAAGGAATTCTAAGCTTTCTTAAATGAAAGACAGAAGTTTACCCAGAGAAATAATTTTTGTTATTTTATGATTAAGTAAATAAATTTTATAATGAAATATTAGTTAAAAATGTATATATTGTGTACATAGAGACAAATCAATTTAAGTTAAAAATTTTGACTCAAAACTTGATTTAAAATTCATGAACAACAGTAAAAATTAATGGTATATAATATATAAAATTTATCCTAGTGAAAATTTCTTATAATTTTATTTTTAACAATTTTACTTTGTAAGAATGTATCAAAAACAACTTTTTTTGCAGTATAAAAATTATATAATTTATATATAGCTTTGTAAATTTCCAAGGTTTTGAATTCTATATAAATATGTTTAGATTCATAATATTTTTAAATATAACAAATAAATGATACATGTAATATGTTACAATTGTGTGTAAGAAATCTTCGTTAAGCTATCATGACACATGAATTGTAAATTGTAAAATTATTAATGTATTAATACGGTTATTAGATGATATTTATTAATTAGAATGATTATACTGATATAAATATGTAAATATATACACACATGATGTACATATTATAAATACATCAGTGATCATGAAATCTATTCTAATTAAAATATCCATAATATTTTAAGATCTGTAAACGATAATATGAGCAAAAAGAACCTAAAAGATTAAATTTACAATTACTTAAAATTTTCAGCTTGTAAATCCTGTAAATCAGCTATTTAACTAACACATTAATTATGTTAGATAATAAGTTGTTTTTTATAGCTGAGAGTGTGTGTGTGTGTGTGTGTGTGTGTGTGTGTGTGTGTGTGTGTGTGTGTGTGTGTGTGTGTGTGTGTTGGCTACACTCACTTTAAACTTTATCTTTATCTTTTTCCTTCCAATAAAATAAGAAAATTATAAAACAACATCTGTTATTTATCAGTTGGATATTAATGTAACATATGCAATGTTAAAAGATTGGAACTAGTAAAGGGAGCTCATTTATTTATCCTCTAAGATTGATACGTTATTCGAGTAAATTTGTAAATATAGAATGCATAGAGAAATAAATAAATCTAACAATAAGAAGAATATGTCAACACGTTAGACTTACTAACCTTGACTAAACGTATACATTGTATTCCGCATGCGCAATATGAGTAAGTGAATAATTGGTATACGAGCAAAAACGAGACAGAGCGAAACTCCCTTTCGGGGTCCCTCCCCGCTCTCCTAGAATCAGATGTTTATGTCGGTTGTCGGCTACATAAATCAGAGCATCTTATCTGGCGCCTGACCTGCACACATCGATCATGTAGGTGTACAATCGCTACCTGCCAGTCATTAAATGCGCGTGGACCGTCAAGTGGGTGTCAAACGCTGGGAGAATCGACAAATTGTCGTCTGTGAAGCGGAAATGGCAGCGGAAATCGACGGCGAGCATTCGCATCCGCAATGCATCAAATTGCCGCCGGCTGTCGAGGTGTTTGCCAATCTAAAAAATGCGCAAACCTTCGCCATAGATATCGGTATGTTGTACAATTAAAACCGTATGGTCCTTTCCAAATAGCATTTTTTTTCAGCTTGGCTTTTTAAGATTAATTCTTGCATCATCATTGTCTCGCATTTCATTCCACGAAATTAAACTATTGTGAAATAAATATAATTATCTGCTGTGTTTACGTTTACCATATAACTGATACCTGCTAGTCTAACAAGTTTATACATTATATTATATTTATGTGTATCAAATTGCTATGGCTAAATTCGAATTGCTCTTGTGTCTATCAGTTATTAGTTGTTGTTTGTGTAAAAAAAATATTATCAGACTGTATCTTTTTTTTCAAATTTAATGTATATTATTGCATATTATTTCAGGATTATCATTAACGAAAATTGCATATTATTCAACGATAAGTTATCGCAAGGCACTTTATGAGGATGCAGAAGGGTTAGGAAATAGTGGAGAACGAGCATACAAAGTATTTGAGGGTAGCAGATTACACTTTGTTAAATTTGAAACAAGATATATTGAAAACTGCTTAGACTTTGTCAAGAAAAATTTAGTAGATGTTGAACGTTTTCATGGGAAAAGTATTAAAGTAACTGGAGGTGGAGCATTTAAATATACTCCTTTATTGCAAGAGAAATTAGGATTATTGTAAGTATTATTAAATATTGTAAATTTTGATTAATAGGGAAAATATAAATTTTAAAATTTCATTTGTATATTTTATTTATATATATTTTGATTTTATTTATATACTTATGTATTTCAATTAAAATATATTTTAATTTAAAATTTAAATATATCTTTATAAATTTTTCATATAAATATTAAAAATATTGTATCTTGTTACATATAATATTTAATCTTATATTGTTCAACTTATAACATATTATAATATATTATAATATATTTTATGAAACTCTTAATGTCATGTTTACTAATTGATAAGATAAAATTTTAGAGTTGACAAAGAAGATGAGATAGATTGTCTGATAAAAGGCTGTAATTTCTTACTTAAAAATATACCATGTGAAGCTTTTGAATACCATCGTCATGCAAATCCAGAATATAAATTTCAAAAAGCTGAACCTAACATATTTCCATATTTGTTAGTTAATATCGGCAGTGGCGTCAGTATTCTTAAAGTAAGTAATAAATACTTAGTAAATATTTTTATTTATAATGAATAAATGAATTCTTAAAGTCTTTAAATTTTATAGGTAGAATCAGATGAAGTATTTGAAAGAATTGGGGGTACAGCTACAGGAGGAGGTACATTTTGGGGATTAGGATCATTACTAACAAAAAGAAAGGTACAAAGCTTGTAATTTCTTAGATTATACTATTATTTCTCTTAATAACTATTATATAATTTCTGTATATTTGATATGTATTTTTTTCTTATTTAATCTTTACAAATCTGCTTGAAATAAGATTTTATAGAAAAATGAATTGTTTTTTATATATAATTTCATTATAAAAGGATTTTACTCCATCTTGGTACTCCATTGAGTCCATGTGAATTATATATATAGAGATATGTATTAAAACAATGACTTTAAAAACACCCTGCTAGGGCTTTGATGAATTGCTGCAACTTGCAGAACGAGGGGATCACCGTAATGTAGATATGTTAGTGAAAGATATTTATGGAGGCGATTATTCCTCTCAAGGTTTACCTGGAGAACTTATTGCATCATCTTTTGGCAAGGCAGTGGCTTGTGGTACGCATAAATATACATAAATTCTATATAATATAAGATTATTGTCAAAAAATGTATTTTCTCAAACTGTGTTTAAAGTATAATATACAAAAAATGATAATTATCTGTCATTATCAAGTCGTTACAATAAACTCCTAGTTATTAGTTTTTAGTTTGAGTGAAAGAAACTAAATTAAGCATTTTCTAATTTAAATATTAATTATATTAATATATAACATTCCAGGACAACCAAAATTTTCTGAAGCTGATCTTGCAAGGAGTTTGTTAATCACCATTAGCAATGATATTGGGCACATTGCTAGTTTATATGCGACTGTGTACAATATGGACAAGATTTATTTTGGTGGTTATTTCCTTCGTAACCATCCACTATCGATGCATACCATTTCATACTCCATCAAATACTGGTCTCATGTTAGTCTCTACAGTTGCTTCTCTTTGCTTCTCTGTGCTTTACAATATTTTTTTCAACATAATTATATATTTTTTTAATTAAATCATTTTTATATAATTAGCAAAAGATCAAAATAAAATGCAGGTTTCTTCATAAACTATATGTTTCTATATATTTATGTTGCTGTCACATATCCATTATTTAGGATAAGGTAAAGCCTCTCTTTCTTCGCCATGAAGGTTACCTTGGTGCGATTGGAGCATATTTATATGGCACTGAACAGTCAGATAAATACAGCTGGTTGGAAAATTATGCCGGGTCATCAGGTTTTAACGATTCTGTGCCAACTGATCTCGGAATGAAAATTGATCAGTTGGAAATCGATCAAGCAGAATATATTGTTACATTCTGTCCACTATTAAAAGACCCTGCATCTTACAATCCTGATACCACAGATCTCGCTCAGGATAAGGAGGCCAGGTATGAGAGATTTTTGTTTAGTTATTTTTGAAAATTATGATTATGCAAATCTAAATAATAAAATATTTATGTCTACAGAGATTATTGGTTACAATGTTTTGAAGAATCCGTGGATAAATTTGTGGCGAGAGCTATTCATAGTCAACCACATAGTCCGACAGCAAAAGATAGAGGATCAAAACTTAAGGAAAAATATATTAATAGATTACATTATCTTCATACACAACCAGTGTAAGTTTTCCATCATGAGAAATACTAATAATAGATAAATTAATTACACATGTATATGTAAACTGAAATTATATAATTTTTAATTTGCAGTGCATATGGGGCACTTACAGTTAGAATATTACTAGATACTATTGAGCATTGTATGAAAGAGTTTGATTTTCCAGATCCATATTTACATGTAAGTGATCTTTGTTTTTTAAATTATATGTTTTTCAAATTAAACACAAAATTAATCAATTACATTATATTGTCTTATTTGTAGCAAAAAAAGAAAGAGAATGAAGAAGCTTTAAGGCATCTACATGATCGCATAACTACTTTAGATAAGTTAGAAGGTGCAGAAAAGATAAAAGCTTTGATTCTTGGTGTTTTAAGTGGTAATATATTTGATTGGGGTGCAAAAGATGTTGCAAAACTATTAGAAACCACTGATTTTGGCTTCAAAGAAGCTCAAACAAAAATTCCAGGTAAACTAGTATTATTAAATTAAAAAATCAGTATTGCAATTGCTTTTGGCTATTACAAGACTAAACTGGATCATCCAAAAAAGTTTTTCTGACTTTTATGTTATTTTAATAAAATTCTAAAGACAATTTCTGTTGTAAAAACAGGTAGACCATGGTTGGAGGATAATTTAGATGATTGGATACATAGATTACAGAATGGACAGCCTCATAAATGTGCAGCCATTTTTGTAGATAACAGTGGTGTGGATATAATTCTTGGAATTTTGCCATTTGCACGAGATTTATTACAACGAGGAACTAAAGTTAGTTAATATTAATTGTACTTATAAATCAATCTTTTTGAATATGTCAAACTATTTGTAAAAACTAATTTATTAAATAATTAATTGAAAAAATTACATTTTATCTTAAATTTAAAAAAATATATATATATTTTTAGGTAATATTATGCGCTAATTCTTTGCCAGCTTTGAATGATGTAACATATCCCGAATTGGTTGTAACGTTACGGGATGCCGCAAAAATTTGTAATGTTATTAAACAGGCTTTAGAAGATAATACACTTATTGCCATGGAAACTGCACAAGCAGGTCCTTGTTTAGATCTAAGGTATGTATTTCGAAATATCTTACAATTATAATTATAAGCAATTATATATTTTGCTTATAATAAAAAAATGTTATTTTATAATTTCTCCACTTTTATAATATTTATTAATAATTTAATATTAATGATATATAATATTACTTTATTATTTAATAGTCGTCTGAATCTGGATCTATGTCTTGCAATGGTGAAGCATAATGTGGATCTTATAGTCATCGAGGGCATGGGTAGAACCTTACATACAAATTTTCACGCCAAAATGAAGTGTGATTGTTTAAAATTGGCTGTTGTAAAAAATCGATGGTTGGCGCTTCGCTTAGGCGGTGACATGTATGCTGTGATATGCAAATATGAACCATCGAAAACTAAGATCTATGATATTGGAATAAAATCGAAAACGATAGGAGATAAGAAAACGATAGAAGATTGTCCGTCAATGTACAAGACAGATAACGGAAATGTTCAAATGCGATAATTTTGACAACGGAAATACAAGTAAAATGTCAATGTAAAATAAGCAATACAATTATTTTCTAGATTAGTAATTAAATATACAACAAATTGCCTTCCTTAAAAAAAAATTAAAGAAAATTGTGTGTGCAAATACGCTTAAAAATATTAAGTTTATATTGATGTTAGGAAACAAACATACAGATGGAATATCATGAAAATCGTCAGATAATCCTGATTATGTAAAATATAAGACATTGAATATAAAATAATTTTATTAAATCATGCTCTGTTAAAAGTGTTTTTTTTCTTTTTTTAAATTTTTTATCATCATTTTTTACTTCAATTATAGTTTGTATTACTGACATTGTCTTTATTGACAACTTGTATTATTTTATCTGCTTGTATCTTATTATTTTTTTAAAAAGCCTGTTGTAGTATTAGCATTCAAATTTTAATTTTCAAGTTTTTTAATCTAAGTTTTTAGTAAGTTATAAACTGAATTTTTGTACATCTCATCAACTACATGAACTTAAAAAAGCATTATTTTTTTTATCATAAAGCGAAACAAAAAATTATATATATATATCATAAATAAAATTAAATTTTTTCAACCAATCATAAAATACTCTACATTTATATGAAAGAGATTATTTAATTATAATTTTCTTATCAATTAATGAATTAACTATTTAATTCGATCGTGCTTCATCCAGTTATAAAAAGTGTATTATTTATTTTTTATTTTTTTCGCAGGAATGTTAGAAATATTAATGTATATAGGCACATTGTATTTATACTGATGTAAAAAATTAGAATCGTTATATAAATAATGATTTAAGACAATAAAATAATTTTCCATATATAATTCGTTGCTATAATTATTGCAAAAATATTTTACATATTGCAGAAAAATCTTTGTAATATACATATAAAATATTACATAAAATACATTTTCTGTGATACTATCATATGTAAAGAAAATACAGAAAACTAGAATTATAGTTTTTTCTAAGTTATAATAATGCCTGATATTTTGTACAGTTTATATATAGTTATCATATTAACATTGTATATACACATATAAAAATCTTTATTTATTTATTATTATAGAAAACTTTCTGCCGAAAATTAAATCATTAATTGTTTTATTATGATAATTTTAGATTTAACAAATTAATAAAAAAACAGCAGAAAAACTAAATTTATATATATACATATAATATTACTAATTCGTATTGAATGTCACTAATGTATTTCAATCATACTAATTTTTTAGCAAGAAAGTTAATCTGATAATTCCGATATTCGTTAAATAAAGATCCATTTCGTGTAATTAATAAAAATATATGTATATCACAGTGACTGAGAAAAATACGTTAAATTATTTTAATATTATTTGAAATTGATCTATATGACATTGTAAAAATAATAATTCGTCATTTCTGTACATAATATACATAAATTCTGTAATAAAATGCATATATATCAATGTTTATGATAATAATTAATATACATTACAAATATAATTGATTTTTGTGTACCCTGTGAGTTAAATAATTTAAAATTTGTATGACATACATGAAAATATAAAGCATTTATCATGAAATACGCGCACAATATATTTTTTCTTAAATATATTTCGGTACTCTACAAAGGGAGAGAGAGAAAGAGAGAGATTCGTATCTATGAAATTTTATATTATATCATTTATAATTATAATCATTATATATCTCTCTCATAAAATTCAAAAATTGATTTTATTCTAATTTCTTAAAATCGTAAAATGAAATAACAATGTAATATTTTTTTTATATTTCGTGTTAAGAAATATAATATATTTGTAGGAAGAAAAAGAGATACATTTTCTCTATTTTATTCTGATCTTTTAAAATAGAAAATCTTTTGAATAGAAATGAGAAAATGTCGATTATAATACACAATAATGCAAAAAATAAAGATATATATCTAATTTGTCAATATACTATTTCCTAACTATAATAATGTATTCTTATTTTCATAATAGAATTAAATATAAAAATACGAATGTAGTTTAAATAATAAGCTTTATTAATGTCTATAAAATATTCAGTCAAAATACTTTTTTTCTATCCTTTCGAAATCTAGAAGTAATTAAAAGTTAAATTCTATGTATATTATAGATGCATTTCGAGAGTGATTGAAAAAAATAAATCTAATTCAATATTTTTTTATTTATATGAAATTTTTGGAGTATTTATGAGAGACAAGCTTTTATCTATTTATATAATGATAAAAAATCAATAAAAATTGATAATGTTTTTACAGTAACAAACTCAATAATATTCAGAAACTAATATAAATTTGGTAAATTTCCTATAAAAATTTCAAGAACCAATTTTTTTAAATACCATTCACAAAAGAATGAAAATATTCATTTGATGACTCCATTCGATAATTTTCATTTTATTTTCAAATTTTATTCACACATGTGAACGAAAAATAAAGAAACTCGGATGAGAGTTGCTCGGGAAACGAAAACTAGAAGAGAAATGCGAACTGGGTGATAGGAGGAAGAATCGAAGAAGAAAGAAGGTCTTGTGCATGCTGGACACGCTCCGCATCTATTTCTTTCAGCCACGTCCTACGCAATGTCCAGGTCGGAACTTTATTAAATTCCCGTCATATGATATTGTCCAGTACAGGAGAACCAGACCGGTGCGCGCAAGCTGACACAGCCAATTATCTTCCAATTTGTGCTGGTGTGATAATCGATACTCCTTCAGATATATCGTCTCTTAATCTGTATATACTATATATGCTATTATTAATCTTACATAACTGTGCCCTCGAGTATTTACTTAGTTTATTATTAGAAGAGAATTTTATTTCAAAGAGTCACCATTTTTATAATGTTATTATTTTCTCATTTTCTTTCCACTTAAACAAATAATTCATTATATGTATATTAAGAATCTTTTATCTTTTATTTAACTTATAACTTATAAATTTTGAACATATCAAAGATGCGAAAGTTTTGAAATGTATATAAATTTTACATAAGTTTATTTAAAAGACGAATTAAATAAATATGAGCAAGAAAATTCCAAGGAAATAGAAACTTATCTAAAAAATTTTACATTTACTTAATATTTTTCTTTATAGAAGAATATATAATTCATATATAAAATTGATTTTTTTATGTTTGGATGCGCGTACATGTACACTGAAAAAAAACTTGGTTGAAAAAGGCAAAATTTGTTTTGCCCAACTAAGTATATTGTCCAATACGTTCAAATAAATATATCTAAAATATTCCGAAATAATTTATTGATGTAAAAAAAGCTTATTCAAATCATCAAAACAGAGAGTTCAGTACAACGATGTACAGTTACTACAAAAGAATATTTTTTTGGCAATATTCAACAAAATTTTTTGTTCAGTGTACTATTTTTACATTCGCGTGCTATTTTCCACAAAAATGCTGGAGAATTAGACGCGTATATATCTTACATAAAATAAATACTTAAGATTGGATGTTACATCGCGAGCCCCATGAATTTTTCATCTTCAATACATACAAGGCCACTAACGGATGAGATGGTCAACGTGTTCTATTTTCCCATATAAGCTTCATGGAACATCTTTTTCATTATTAAACGACAACGATAATACTTTCGTAAAACGAACGCATAAGAATTACATTTATTGCATCGATTTATTTATTGAGATGAAAAAGAATCTTATTATTATTTTACAACAAAAATATAATTTCAGCCATATTCGATGGATATATCCCGAAAAAATTCTGAGCAAATGTACATAGTTGATTCGGAACGTATAATTTTGTTTTTACAAAATGTATGTATGTACATGTATAATTACAGTATATATATTGGCAACAATTAATATTATGTGCTTATTAAATAGGAGATTGAATAGAATTATTGCTATAAAATAACATTAAAATATGTTATTAAGATATATAAAGTTGGAAGTGTGTAAATAAAATATATGCAATAAATATTTTTATTAAATTTCATGTTTGAGAAAAAAGATTAGTAGTTGAAAATTTTTTATTTATAATTCATTCTGTATATTAAATTCAATCACAAAATAATTATTATTTAATAATATTAACTGATAATGTTTAAAGAGATGTTTAAAGGGATACACATTAGGCTTACATAATTTAAACCTAAAGTAAACTGTCCAATTTATATGTGTATATAAGAATTCAGAAAATTTTATGAGATTGGAAAAATTTTTTCAAAAATTGAAAAAATTGCCAATCCTAGCTGGATGTAAAGCTAGCAGCTTTCATTGAGAGCAAAGCTTTCCAATAAATTTTTGTGCAAAGGAATGGTTTCGCTAACGGATTGCATATACCGGTTACAATAAAATTTTTCACTTTTCTAACTGAATATTGTAAATCTTTCGAATGAGTAATCTTTGTAATCTTTAAAAAATTGCAAAAAGTTAATTAAAAAGTGTTTAATGTAAAATTGTTAGAGATCTTGATTTTCATAAAATTTTTATAATTTGTTTTTATAACCGTGTTTGCAATCATTCAACTATTAAAATTTATTACTATTTTGATCATTTTAGATCTTTTTAAAATTTATATCTGACTTAATTTATAATACAATATCCAAGTAAATAATATTTAAATTACAATTAATGAACACACATAATTAATATATAATTACAAAAAATCAAGATATTTAAAAATTAATAGTATTATAATATTGTATATACAAATATACAGAAAAATCTCATTCTACCCTTGAATAACATATAGAAAAAATCTACCACTATTTTGCATAGAATTGTTTCATTTTTCTGCGTGTGCTTTTTACATATTCATATAATTTACATGAAACATAAAAGCACGTATAATTAAAGAACATCATTATAAAGCAATAAAATGTAATTTTTGCCTAGTATATATTATAAGCGAAGCAAACGCTAAAAAAATAAAAATAAAAATGATTAAATAACATTTTCCACATTTAATCATAATAGAAATATTCGTATATTTAAGGGAGAAAATGTTATCCATCTCGGCACATATCATTCTTTTGGATTGAATCATTTTACTTTTGTCACTAGATATTTTAAATCACGAGTGACAGAATAGCAAGTTGAAAGATTATACGCATATATATGATATTAATTCCAATATTTCTCTTCAGAAAAAAATCTATTTCTCCTGTGTTCTTTTAATGTATATATCTACGATAGAGAAAACGCAATTCGGTCAAATCAATATTTCACATACCGGAATATGCTCTCC